CAAATAAGCGACATAAAACATCGAATAGAGAAGGAGAGGGAGTTGAGATTTGGATTGTATAAAAAGTATCGCAGGGCCGTGAATGCTATCGACGGAGTTGACACCGCACTTGTAACAGCTAACATGGGACTCGGTGTAGCCGGTGTCGGTTTATTATCAACTATAATCGCCGCGCCTATCGTACTTGGCATGGAAAAAGCGGCCGGAGTCTCAGGACTGGCAGGAACAGCGATAAAATTCATTTCTCGTAGGTTACAAAAGAAAGCATTAAAACACGATAATATTCGGATACTCGCCGAAGCAAAGTTGAACAGCATTGAGGATCAAATTTCAACAGCAATGGCTGATTGTAAGATATCCGAGGAGGAGTTTCGTTTAGTGTTATCAGAACTCACCAAATACAACGTAAGGAAGCAGGAGATTCGATCCAATTCTCGTAAGACCAGTGGTATTAGCGAAGACGAGAAAAAAAAGTTCATAGAACAGGGGAGACAACAAGCGCGTCAATTATTCCGTGCCAAAACCAAAGAACTTGTTGGAGATTAAAAATAGCTTGCTTACTATCATTAGATCACATTTAGAAGAATGCTTACATAAGTATATAATAATGGAGAATTACAAACCAACAAAGAAAGAACTCGAAAAAGCTATCGAAGCATTTTTGATCAGGGACAAAATTATCAAATGGAGAGAATTACCACAACGTATATATTATATCAGTGATGTCAAACCAACCAAATACGGTCATCAATTGTTTCTTTCCAATTACCAAGAAGAGTATATAGTCTGGTCTCCTAGTAAAATGAACGACGAACTTAGTACAAATGTTGAATATCACTTCGTTAAAAATAATGGTATACATATTAGTAAAAATAATAGAGAATATTTTCAGTACAATTTAGTTTAGTCTTATGACTATCGTTGAATCGCATCATCATTTACACATAAAAAATTCCATCTGTAGTGGCAGTATAGGTATATAAATCTGGCTCCAGTGGAAGTGGTCCAGAACCCCCATTACCTATACAAATTTATATCATAGAAGTATTGATTGACTCCAGGTGGTGGTGAGCTAGAGTCAATTTAGCTTAATCTCATGATGATCGTTGACTAGCATCAACGTTTACACATAAAAAATTCCATCTGTAGTAGCAGTATAGGTATATAAATCTGGCTCCAGTGGAGTTGCGGAAGAACCCCCATTGCCTATACTACTCAGCCATGTGGAAATACACCCTGAGTATCACAAATGCCTCGTGTCTGCAATGTCATCTCCGCAGAACTCCACCCTTTGCGTGCAGCCAGTGACACGACTATTTTCTAATTTATTCTGATTATAGAAGCGCTCGAATGTTCAACGTTTTTTCCAGCTTACATATTTGCATAGTTGTGCTTATCGTAGTTATAATTGTGGGCGGATAACATATAGCATCTCGCAGAGCGACAGTCACTTCCGAGCGATGACCTTCTACCAGGCATAATCAACAATGCATTGTTCACCCAGTCCGTGTTGATTATAAGCAAGCGAAATGATCTTGTTCAGAGTGAGTGAGTGAGTGAGTGAGTGAGTGAGTGAGTGAGGGTGGGTTGGCGTATGCATGGTTGGGGGAGTGAGGGTTCATGAGTAAGTGAATTTTGATTCGGACGTTTCTTTATTTCTTCATACACAGAGATGTCCCTATCAAACAGTTGAATAGCATATAGTAATACTACAACTTGATACACATCTTATTACTTTAACCTGTTACCAAACAAAAACAATTTTTAACTTACAACATATAACAAAAAGGTACCTTTATTGATGACTTTGTAAACGCCAACACTTTACTGAGACATCCCTTGTTTCATATTGAAGAAAGTTAACACAGAACTAGAAAGGTATTATAACCTCAATATCCTTTTGACAGACACGTCTCAAAAACTCAAAGTCACGTTTCTTGTGAAATTCCGACGTCGACTCTAACGACGGAAGGAGACGCACGTACTCTTGTTCACAGAAAGAAAGGCTCGGTTTAGTAAAACGACATAATAAATTAATCAAAGCTAAAGCGAGCTGACACATGGCCTTCTAGGGAAACTCGCCTGGGATGAATGGTTGAGTGTCAAGGCCTACATGTTTGACACACGATTGTCCGTAGAACAGCGCTGTTGACATATCAGTAAAATCGTCAAGCATTTGTGGACATAATAAATTTAGATTTCGACAAGTTCTCAAAACAATGTGAATGTTTCGTCGTTTTGTTTGTGGTTTCACGTTGGTTATTTGTCGAGGCAACGGTTTTTGACGGTCCAATACAGAAACACTAGAATGCAGTCAGGGCTATTTTTTTATACGTTATTTTACTGATGTCATTAAATTAGGTCGTAAAAAGGTATAAAGAAAACCAAACCTTCCACCCTAAAATGTGTCAAAAGACAACAACAGGGGAGGTGGCATCAACGTATCGTCGCTAAGTTAACTGGATTTGACGCAGCTTTCAGTTAAGCCAAACATATAGATTCAATTACAGGAGTCCAAACTATATTATTATTATTATCATTATTATTATTATTATTATTATTATTATTATTATTATTATTATATGACGACTACAATAAAATTATATACCTTTTTTATCATCCCAAAGCTGACTTCCACAGGAGATATAGCTCAGGTGAGATTACGTGATATCTCCTAAAAAAACGCATCACAATTCTTTGCAGACCATTGTGATGTTGATCGGTTACCATGTCGTCACAATCAAAATACATCGCAGACCCTGGATGTCAAGGTATTATTTGTACCAGTGAGTGGGGTTTCAACGCACATTTGAAAAGTATTTCGGTTATATCAACACTTGGCATCCTAATGTGGGAGAAGAAACCATAATGACAGTCTTATATGCAACAAATCAATATGAAAACATTTTCTCGATATAAATCCGATATATGCCTGAATATACCTACAGTTCCTACATGTAAGTGAGTGAGTGAGTGAGAGTTGGGTTTAACGCCGCTTTTAACAGTATTCCAGTTATATCACGGCGTGTCAGCTTAAGGTGGGAGGAAAGCCCGAAGTGATACATGTCTCAGACGTCTACCACTTCGGTGAAACCCACGAGCACGGGTATGGTGCTGACACACCTAGAAACATAATCGGGGCGAACCGGGATTCGAACCCACAATGATAGGTTTCTGGCGCGACTAAACGACGCAACTCTGCACAGCGAACGCGGCGCCTTAGACGATTACTCCCGAGACTTTGTTAGAAATGTGCCTCTGTCCACCCAGCAGTGAATGAATACCCGGTAGGATGGAATTGTTATGTGACTGTAAACACTATCGCCTCATGTGGCAGCTTGGTTTGCATACTCCCCTGGGGTTCGAGAATGCAGTTTGAGTGCACACTGAATCAAAGACTGTGGTAATAATAATATAACGCCATGATAATTCACTTGCTGAGTAGAATCTGATGCATTATATTGGAACACGGATATGGTGCTGACCAATAAAGCACTATAAACGGGGTGTTTGAATTTGGTGTAACGCCCTTTTAAACATATATTTCAGTTATATCACAGCGTAACAGCTTGAGGCAGGAAACCCCAAGCAGGCCTTAGACGTGTGCCAGAAGCGCGGGTATGGTGCTGGCAAACCTAGAATCATAAACATTGGGAATCCAAACCCATGGTCACAGATTACATCTCTCGTACGCCTAATGACGCAGCAGAAGGGGCTGTATTCGAGATCGTAGTTTGGATAAGGAACGCAGTTTTACAAAATGAACTGCTGCAGAGGCAATACAGACGGAGCAGTATGTCGGTCATATTAAGAATCGACTTCATGTTGGAGGTAAGTCAAAAGTGAAGCAGGTCCAAGGGGCTTACCACATTGGTGAAACCCAAGACCACGGGTATGGTGCTAACAAAAAAAAAAAAATATCATAGGCATCTGGCAACCCTGTACAAAGAATGCCGTTAAGAAGGAAACATTCTCCACACAGAGGCATCTTGTCTTATATTTCATATCCTTACCATTCACCTTCAGCCAACATGCAAAGCATGATTTGGAATTGCATTCTTGTTCTGCTGCGGTAATTTTTTACGCCTCAGGTGCATGTTGTGCGTCTTTGAATAACGCATGCCCTTCTATGATATTTAGCGGGAAAAAGGCAAATTGTCAACACAAAAAGGTTATTGCGCTGCAGTCGTGGTGAGTCAGAACATAATCAGCAAACATTCCAGCGATGACATTGTGCTGCTGATAGTTACCATGGCAGCTTTACGGAATTCCAAATTGCATAATAGACAAACAGAACACAAAACGCTAACTACGCCAATCGGTGCCAAATGGGCAACCGGCGTTCCGAATAAAAATAGAAATCTAAGTTTGGTATATCGCCCCTTTGAACGGCATTTCCATGTAGCTAGAAACTCCTAAGTGATGCGAGTCCTTGACGTCTATCACCTCAGTGAAGCCAACTAGAACGCTTAAGGTAGTCATAAATCTAAAAACATTAACTGATACACTATGAAAACGCATAGAGGAGTTTGGGAAATACTTTTCATTTTCAGCGAACTGACAGAAAACAAAGAAATTTGTATGTGGTAGTGGGGCAGAAAGGCATCTAACATTGCTATAATGTTGTCTGAGTTCAAATCCCCATTCACATTACCATACCTGACATAGGTTTCAAGTAACTTGTTACTTATCAAAGAAAAAATCCACTGTGTTTCAGTATAATTATTAGGTTATTGGAGAATCCAATCCAAGATCAGTGCTGACAAACCACGAGTCTGGTTTGACGCTCCTTTGAACAGTATCCTATTTGTCATGGCATGGTCCCATCCTCTGTATCTCCAGCGCTAACATTTATGTAAACCTACACCTACCCCTGGATCCTTTCCCGTGGTTCTTGCAATCGCAAATTACCCGCCCTTGGGGTTAGTTGCACCTGGCAGACCATTAAACCGCCAGGGCAAATCTAGTTTGTGAAACAAAGATGAGAGGACACGTCTACCTCGTTCTTCATAATCGGTTTATTGTACAAACAAAACACAGTTTGATGCAGACGTATGACATCAAATGACATGTCATGACCATAACAACGTACAAGTAGATACAATAAACACAGTATCATGTCTGTAATTGCACATGAGGGTAACAAAATCTTTAATAGGCCGATTCCACTTCAGCATACTGACACCAGGTCAATACGTACCTACATATTGGTTCAACAAGACCTGATGTTCATAAGCATAACCCAACATTTCTGGCAGTTAACAAATCTCGGATACTAAAACAAATCACTCAGAACCTGTGTTGGTCGTAGTCATGTTCAGGTAGCTGTTTGTGGAGTAGTATCAATGTCCAATGTAAAATAGCCTTGTGGTGGTCACCTATCTTAAAATCATATTTGGTTCCTAAGAATTATTTCATAGTTGAATAGCACCCTAACCGCCTTCAAAAAGATGTTTGCAGTTTGTAGAATTCTTCAGTGAGCAAGTGAACGCCGTGTGGCCTCTGTTGAATGTCTTGACAAACGTGTGAATACTGTCTGTACCAATTCCAGGCTCCCAAGAATATTACACATAACGTGGACACTACATCAGCCATCAGACAGCAGCCGTATCACAGCACACATGGTTGTGGCAAGGTGCACAGAAAATAATGTACAAATTTGGCAAGTGATTATAAACATTTTGAAACCAAAAACATGATTACCACTTATCCTGTGGCCAGTTGAAACTATTTCAATCTATGCATGGAGAAAAACCCATTTTAAGAATAATAATGATATTTGTACCTTAACTAAACATCAATTTCTTAGGATCATTCAATGAAGAGGTCCGTTGAATGTTGCTTTGAACAGTATTTCTGTAATAACAGCGCAATTAAGCCTGATGTGAAATTTGATCACGGTAATGTTGGTCGTAGACATTTACCACTTCAGTGATACCCACGAGCTCAGGTGTGGTTCTGACAAACCAACAGGGAGTGACGGAGTATATTTTAACCACACATTGAACAATATTTCAAAAAAGTCCAAAGCCCAAACTGATGCTGATCTAGACATTGACTTCTTTCGTGACACCGAGGATGAATGTGGTGTTCACAAACAAGAATAATAATGAGGTTGAATCTTGGTTTCAGACCTGTGATCATACGATTCTTGCTACCTTAGGGACACAATTCTGCACAGTGAAATTGAGCACTTTAGACCACTGGACCACTTGGGCCCAGGTGTAGGGTAGGAGTCTGTTTTGCGAACCTACACAATACTAAAGCTTTGGTTGTTTTAGGTAATGATGTTGGCAGACAACTGGGGGCGTTCTTACATCACACTGCATGTTCACAGTCATTAAGAGTATTAGGTCTCTCCCATCCATCAGTCGTCTGGCCATCAGCTTGAGTAGCACAGCTTGAGTATAGCCCATAGAATCTATGAAGGTTGGTACACATACATGTGTACCTTCTCGGGATGTGAAAAATACATTCATAAAGGCGAGTTGCAAGCATACACACTTTGCAGGATAAAATATATACTTTGGCCATTCATCCAGGCTCCCTTTCAACAACCACCTGCTCGGAGTCCCAGTCTCCTAGTTCAAGAAGTAACCAGCTCAGAGGTTGCTCACACCAACATGGGACACCCACATACACCAGCCTTCAACTGGAAATAGGTTCAACCTTAAAGTATATGGCTAGACTCCCACCCTGAACTTGCTCTTTAGCAGATTTGTATTCAGAGAAAGGTCCAAATCTTCCATCTTGAAGTTCAGATCCTGAACAAGCTTCAAATCTGAACAGACTTGTATCCTGAACACACTTTATATGTGAACAGACTACCTGGAAAAAGTTCCTGACCTGAACAAGCTCCACACCTGAACAAGCTCCAAACCTGAACAAGCTCCAAACCTGAACAAGCTCCAAACCTGAACAAGCTCCAAGCCTGAACAAGCTCCCCACCTGAACAAGCCCACAACCTGAACAAGCTCCAAGCCTGAACAAGCTCCCCACCTGAACAAGCTCCAAGTCTGAACAAGCTCCAAGCCTGACAGGCCACACACTTGAACTGACTTCCGCAGTGGACAGGTTCATCACCAGAACACTGACTTTGTCTTCAGCCTGTTTGATCCAGGGCTCCAAACTATCACATGTATTCCCCACACACCCATTTAACAATGGGTGGGTTCTGTACTAGGAGGCTCCTAACTCCCGGAATTTCTTAAAGCGTTTCCACTCTCCAGTGGAATAGTTCATCTGGAAGTAGGTGTCCGCAATCATCTTCCTCTGGACACCATCCGTCTGTTGTACAGTCTCTTCCGTCTCGCTGAGTCGGATGTTGAGTATATCTCCCTGCTGTGGGCAGGGGTTGTCTGTGGAAGAAACAAGTTTGTGTGAGAGAATGCATTCTGTGAGAATAGCCACTGGTCCAAGGATAGCGGAAGGTGAGGGAATAGTTGATGCAGTGAGTGGTTGAGTGAGACAAGTGGCTGAGTGAGGGGATTGAGTGAGACAAGTGGCTGCATGAGGGGGTTGAGGGAGACAAGTGGCTGCGTGAGGGGGTTGAGTGAGACAAGTGGCTGCGTGAGGGGGTTGAATGAGACAAGTGGCTGCATGAGGGGGTTGAGAGACAAATGGCTGCATGAGGGGGTTGAGTGAGACAAGTGGCTGCGTGAGGGGTTTGAGTGAGACAAGTGGCTGCGTGAGGGGGTTGAGTGAGACAAGTGGCTGCGTGAGGGGGTTGAGTGAGACAAGTGGCTGCATGATGGGGTTGAGTGAGACAAGTGGCTGCATGAGGGGTTGAGTGAGACAAGTGGCTGCATGAGGGGGTTGAGTGAGACAAGTGGCTGCGTGAGGGGGTTGAATGAGACAAGTGGCTGCATGAGGGGGTTGAGTGAGACAAGTGGCTGCATGAGGGGGTTGAGTGAGACAAGTGGCTGAGTGTGAGTGTTGAGTGAGACAAGTGGCTGCGTGAGGGGGTTGAGTGAGACAAGTGGCTGCATGATGGGGTTGAGTGAGACAATTGGCTGAGTGTGAGTGTTGAGTGACACAAGTGACTGCGTGAGGGGGTTGAGACAAGTGGCTGTGTGAGGGGGTTGAGTGAGACAAGTGGCTGCATGAGGGGGTTGAGTGAGACAAGTGGCTGAGTGTGAGTGTTAAGTGAGACAAGTGGCTGCGTGAGGGGGTTGAGTGAGACAAGTGGCTGCGTGAGGGGGTTGAGTGAGACAAGTGGCTGCATGAGGGGGTTGAGTGAGACAAGTGGCTGCGTGAGGGGGTTGAGTGAGACAAGTGGCTGCATGAGAGGGTTGAGTGAGACCCGTGGCTGAGTGAGGGGGTTGAATGAGACAAGTGGCTGAGTGAGGGGGTTGAGTGAGACCCGTGGCTGAGTGAGGGGGTTGAGTGAGACAAGTGGCTGAGTGAGGGGGTTGAATGAGACAAGTAAGAAGTTGCTGTGTGAGGGGGTTGAGTGAGACAAGTGGCTGCATGAGGGGGTTGAGACAAGTTGTTGTGTGAGGGGGTTGAGTGAGACAAATGGCTGCGTGAGGGGGTTGAATGAGACAAGTTGCTGTGTGAGGGGGTTAAATGAGACAAGTAAGAAGTTGCTGTGTGAGGGGGTTGAGTGAGACAAGTGGCTGAGTGTGAGTGTTGAGTGAGACAAGTGGCTGCATGAGGGGGTTGAGACAAGTTGTTGTGTGAGGGGGTTGAGTGAGACAAATGGCTGCGTGAGGGGGTTGAGTGAGACCCGTGGCTGAGTGAGGGGGTTGAGTGAGACAAGTGGCTGAGTGAGGGGGTTGAATGAGACAAGTAAGAAGTTGCTGTGTGAGGGGGTTGAGTGAGACAAGTGGCTGAGTGTGAGTGTTGAGTGAGACAAGTGGCTGCATGAGGGGGTTGAGACAAGTTGCTGTGTGAGGGGGTTGAGTGAGACAAGTGGCGGTGTGAGGGGGTTAAATGAGACAAGTGGCTGTGTGAGGGGGTTGAGTGAAACAAGTGGCTGCGTGAGGGTGTTGAGTGAGGGGTTTAGTGGGAGGTTGAGTTAAGTCAGGGACTGGTTGAGTTAGGTGTCATTCAGCTAGATGTAACATGAAGCCATGGTGATGAATAGACTGGAAATGTAATACACTGGATCAGTAAGGATGAGACACAAAACAGGGAGCCATACCTCTAGATCCTGCCATAAAACCGAGGATGAGAGCCTTCTCTGGCCGAGTGACTTTGTTCGACGTCTTAAACATCTCCTGTGCTTCAAGCATTTGTTCTCTCTGGAAGAAAAATAGTAACTCCTTTGTATAATGTGACATGATTAATGTGATTTAATGGCCATATAGCTCATTCCAGGTTGGATTTGTTTGGTCGGTTGGTTGCATGTTTGTGCCAATACGGTGCCCCGGTAGCAGGAATAGAGAAGCTGTGAGGGTAATTACTCATTACCTGCTTGTATAAAAAGCACCCCCTCTATTTGATTTAGCTTAAATCTGCTGTACTTTTATTTTAGTGTACATCATACAAACCAAAATAACATATATACAGACAATCTATTTTATCCCAAATCTCAATATTGAACACTACTCACTGTGAGTGAAAGGCCTTTCTTGGCCGGTGCTGCAACAGCCGCCTGTGCTTGAGGTGCTGCCGTCACCTGCACAGACTGTTGGAGTAGTGCAGGTTGCTGTTGTTGTTGCTGCTGTTGCTGTGGCTGTAGTGGAGTTGTTGCCAGCACAGCTGTTTGTTGTTGGGTGACTACCTGCTGTAGGGTTGTCTGAGGTTGCAGTATCACTGTTTGTGATTGGCTGCCTGGTTGCTGGGTGACAATCATCTGTGTCCTGATCTGTGATTGGCCAAGCTGTTGCTGCAGTTGTTGCTGAAGGTTTTGTCTGGCTTGCTGAGTCGAGGCCGACAGAGTTACCGATGCTGCAATACAGCAGGGGGCAAATTAACTCATCATCTCATCACATTTACATTATCATTCTGATCTTAGGGTGAATAGGTTTGCCTTACATTCATGTGTGTCTGAGAACGAAGAGTTTTGATGCAGGTTTTAGATATCTTCTAGTAGAAGCATAGTGCTGACAAACCAAGGATCATAATCAGAGAAAATCAAGGATTTTAATCTACAATCAACAGATCCTGGCACACATAAGGGATGCAACTATGAATCAAGAATTGTGTCAATTTTGATGCTAAGTAGAGTTATATAATATAAATATGACACGTCAACAGAAAAAACTTCAATTTTCATTCTCAGCTACTGTATCACCAGACAGCATAGTCAGTTTGGTTGGCAATAAGGAATGGTTTTGTTTTGGTTGCTATGGGTATTTTGTGTTACCTGTAGTAGGGGTGGCGGCAGCGGGCTGTGTCGGGAGTCGACTACTTGCCGCTGGAACATAGGCTGGGGTGGGTGTGGACAATGTTGAAGTGCTTGTTCCAACAGCAGGGGTGGGCATTTTCTGAAACCACATAGAGCTCATCAGTGAAGTGTGTCATGGTAAGACTGAAAAGTTGATTCTGAAGACATAACACCCTGAAACATTGGTGCTGGCGGGAATTCCGTACTAAAGCATGCATCCAAATGTTACTGATATCTGAGTGGGATCTAACCTGCAACGGTCATATCTGTAGCCTAGGATGTGAGCTACTAGGCTACAGAGGTACTGACAAACCCTCATGGTCTTGAGAATTTTGTTTTCAAGTACAGGTACGTCAACAAGAGATATTTACATTCGTTTCCTATGGTTCATGGACAATGTCTTTGGAAACATAAAATTGTTGATTAATGTTTGTTCCAAAAAAGGTTCCGGGTTATACACAGATGAAATACGGCTCCTCAGGTTGGGTTAAACATGGAAACACTAGTGATGACAGGGTGTTCTCATTTTTTTTCTATAATATTTTATCTTTTTATAGCCTCCAACTATTAGGAAACAAAGAAATACTTAACAACATTGTGTACATCTGTATTTCTAATGAAATACAATACACACTTTCAGTAAGTCACTGTCACAGCCAGGTTTATTATTTGTGGTAAAAGGTGAAGACAGATGGAAAATTATCTCCCTTGAAATTTAGTCACCATTTATAATACAAGTTGCAATAACAAACAAGCTATGTTCAAAATAAAGTATGAGATTCAGTGGATCACTGCCATAACCCCCATGTACAAAGTAAAAGATTCAGGGGACGTCAGGACTCCCAATTAATTTCAACACCATCAACATCAATATTCTTTACAACAATTGTTGCACTCCAAAGTCAAGGTGATATGAGTTGTCTCCCTTGATTCCACCAAATGTTTTTTCTTATACCATTTGCTAAAATGTTCTCCATTTTGTGATCAATATTCCACTTATACCTCAAGTCATTCTTGATTTTCCTGTGTCACTAAAGCAATAAGATCATGCATGTTGTCCACCTTGGTATTAGTTTCTCACTGAATAAAGATTTGAAATTGAACATGCTGTTTAAGTTTGGCTGATTGAGCATGCTAAACGGATAATAATCTTTCATAACCGTGGCTACATCACAGATTCCTGTTATTGTGATTCGATGAATCATGAAACAGCTGGTAGGTCACAAAAAACAGTTGACAGTTAATTAACAGCATATCCTATGGTAAATGGTAACCATGGTAATAAAACCAGAGAGCTACAAAGCCGTAATTTAGAACTAAATTTGAAACACGCGTATAATACACATAAATTTACTGCATGTGTAAAGGCACTATAGCTAATTCAAGGTCAAGCAGATCACAACCAAGCACATGGAGAGACAAAACTTTCACAAGATAACAGACAGTTCAATGAACATTTGTTACACAGTTAATATTGATGAAAAATGATCAAATGACAACAAACATGAACAAAGACATACCGGTGTCGCTGGAGGCACGAGGCCGGCAGCATAGTCTGGCGTGTATGATGTCACTGCAGTCGTAGTCGTTGCAGATGTTGCTGTAGATGCTGCTGCTTCCTTTTCCTTCTTCTGCAGCTCAATTGCCTCAATTTCTGAAACAAGAAAAGTTTCACTTATCAAATACACTTACGCATGACAGCGAGTGATTTTGGTTTAGCGCTGCTTTAAACAGTATTTCAGTGTGTCAGATTTACCAGTATGTGTATGCTGCTGACAAACCTAGAAACAAATTTTGGAAAGCAGAGATTTGAGCCAACAATCATAACTTTCTGGTTCCCCTAGGGGACAGAGATCTGTAGCACCTTAGACAGCTCGGCCCCACATGCCACCACAAACGACAATAACCCAAGTCAGTCATTATTCAACACGGGTTACTCTTGAGCTGAATGTTGCAATAAGCAATATATCTCATGTAAACAGTCCTGACTTGGCCAGACAAACCTGTAACTGACAAGTGAAAACATGTGCAACTTGTGCACCAGGTCACGATGACGTGACACCACTTTAGTCACTTCTCAAGACAAGCAATACATTACAGGGACATATTGAACGGCATGATGAGATTGTTTGGCATACAAACTGTAACTTGTAAATAAACATAGAATTTTTACTGACCAGCCATCTTCTTTCTCCGCTTGGCTTCCTTGGAACCAACAGGAACTTCATCCAGGTCCAAGAACTGACAAGAAACACAGTTCAGTTACCGACAGAGAAATCATTATCATCACAATATCAAGATTAAACATTATTGAATATGGAATTTACACCCAAAAAGGTTTTACACACAATTCAAGCTTTGCAAAATACAAGTAAGTTGTGACAATGTAAGTACATATTCTGATCTAACCTGTAAGCTAAGGTTCAACATGAGTTGCCTTTGACATTAAAAAGAATGGTACAAAATTTGTGCGGTTTTGTCATATTTCAGATGTCATTATTTCATATTTGGAAAGGTCAGCTATCAAATAGTTTGTGTTCAACTCACATGATTAGTCAATTGAGGCTCAATCAAATTATATAAATGAAATCAAACGAAGCACTTGCTTCATAATGGGCACTAGCCATTGCTGGCTGAGTAATTGTAAGGCCGGATTGTATGTCAATAGTTCATAAATATATATTGCCTTTGGAAAATCGATACAGAACCTCAGTACAATTTGATACAGCGCGTATGAATCGATGCATGGATGGGCAGATCTGAGAAGCATTGATACATCGGTGAATTGTAACACATCTAGAACACTCTAATAAAAGCACTGTCAATATAGAATCATACTGGTCAGGATAGATTCATGCAAGTGATTCGTCAGCATCTTTGTCTTAATACATATGAAAAACACCATAGAGTACTGCAACAGAGCAGACTTTCTGACCAGTCTCGTGCCAGAAACATAGCACACATTATGCCTGTCAAGCAAACAGGGTTTCCTTACGAAACAAGAAAACAGCATTATCACTATCACCCATCATGGGGCACATCAAATATTTTGTTTGTGAATACAAACTATCAAAAAGCCCTAAGAAGAGACTGGCACTTGGGCTGCTTTATGTCATCAGAAAAAATGATAAAATATGAAATTAACACACACAAAAGGCGCCTTCTCTGAAAAATTTCTAAGATAAGCTAACTTTAGTAGTTTCTGAGAAAACTTGTCCCAATTGCAGACTATGTATGCACCAAGTAAAATAACATGGATTAATTTCAACTTTGTTAAAAAATAACTGATGGGTCCAATTTTTGAACTCTTGAAGTCTTGACAAATATCGCTTAGATAAGCATGCAAAGTTTCATTCATAATAATTTAAGGCACCAACTCAATCTTGACAAGTATTTCTAATATCAGCATGCAAACTTTCATTTATGTAATTTCAGAAGTTGCTGAGAAAACTGCAGGGAGCAGGGGCCATAAATCTGTGAAGAAATGTACAACAACAATTTTCGAACACATTTGAGATTGTGACCAGTGACATCAGTGTGTTAAATTTCATTTCTCTAACTTGAACAGTTTTGAGAAAATTTGAGAAGCAGACGGACGGACTGTTTCAATATCTCATGCCCCACTTTGTGGCAGGGATAATAATCAAAATGAATTTGATTATTGATGACATTAGTATACTTATCCTGTCAACACATTGCAATTACCTTCTGGACTTCGATCCTATAACACAGAACCCCAAACATGCCTCTTCCTCCTCTGGGGGCCCCAAGCCCTCGGTTACCAGCAGGAGTTATCTGTCCCTGATCCCCGCACTGTCATCTCATGTGCAGGACACTGGGTAGCACTGATGGTGGTGGGAATGCGTACACATAACAATTTTCCTAGGAGATGGCGAGAGCATCGTGATCCACAACAACTGAACATCCGTTGGTGTGCACTGATAAGGGCGAGATAGTGCATTGGCCGTTTGTAACGCCTGGAATATGACAAGGCCATCCATCGACACGCTGTCTATCATACCAAACAGAAAGTTCCCTGAACCAATAGTGCTGCGTTTGGAAGGGGGTGTGGGCGTATATCTCGAGACTGGTCTTTACCACTTTGACCCCCACCAGATCCTTGGTCGCGAAAACAGTGTCGCACCTGGCTCTTTGGCTGGTAGTGACCATATGGTTTCCGTCCACTGCCTGCATGTGCAGACGTAGCTCCAAAGTTTTGTAAGTCCCTAAGGGCGATCTGTGAGTGAACCCTATTGGCCCATGTCTTCGCTGTATCGGCCCATGTCTTCGCTGTATCGTCCACCTTGCTGTTAAATAAGGTGAGGCCAGACCAAGGTTGTTGCAACAAAGTCATGCACATGTTGATGTCCCAAGACAATTCTTCCAAAAGAGCCTGTTGTCTCAAAAGTGTCATCTGTCATCTGTCCACGCGCATGTAACAAAATGTCCGCCATGCTCTCTACATGAGGGGCAACCTGAAAAGTCGCAGACAGCAAGGGAGTAGCCCAAGGTTTAGGCGGAGTCATTCGATTTTTTTCTCTATCATGGCCTCAAAAACAGATGTGAGAGTGGCATCAGAGCGAGGCAAAAGTCACTATCAATTGCTGCAAGTGCCTTATCTTCCATTTAAAAGCATTCACCCCAAAACCCAAACTTCTGTGCGTGTTATCCACTGAAGGCGACACAATGGGGAAGGGCAAGGTATGCAGCTTACGTACCAATTCCAAATTTGCCCAACAAACCGTTTCAGTCAATCGCCACAAAAGCCTTGACCAATAACTTCGAGAAGTTCCACCTCCTCCTTCTTCTCCGCATCAGGGTCCTCCTCGGAGAGAGAACGCGTAGGGGAGCTGGGTAGAAGACATCTTTGGTGCAGGCGCTATGATAGGCAAATGAGCAGCCTGCACAGTCGTAGCTGGCGTCCAATCAAAGTGGTGTGGACCCAAAGGTGCTTGATTGTAAAGTTCGTAGTAAGCTTGATTTAGAAAAAAAGGTTGCTGCTGTAATCCATAAGCCATGGCTCCCATCCAAGGGTGTCTCTGATTCAGGTAACAACCCTTGGGGTGGTAAGGGGCATGATCCCCGTCCAGCGCTTGTGTGCTCAGCCAAGTCTGTGATTTAGACGGTGCCTCGTTCAGCGTGGCCTTACCATTTCAAAATATGCATGCGAAATGAAAAAATTCTCACACAGCATGAAGTAATATCCGTCTAAAACAGATATTGATGGAGAAACAGTCCCACAGAATGACCACTAATCATAAAACACAAGGATATAGATGTACATTCGCAAGTGCATGTGTAACACTGTGCGCAATGAGAAGTGCAGGGATCAGGGACAGATAACTCCTGCTGGTAACCGAGGGCTGGGGGTGCCCCAGAAGAGGAAGAGGCATGTTTTGGGTTCTTTTTATAGGATCGAAGTCCAGAAGGAAATTGTAATGTGTTGTGTCAGGATAAGAGATAACATAAAGATTTGCCAAATGTGAGAGTAAAATTAGAGTCAATCAGAAATTAGCTAAATAGACCAAGTAGTCTGTATCGCAACCTTAACAGTTCTAGCAAAGCATGTCATGTTAATATGGTGCAGGTACACGTTACAGGCATAAAAAGACCATTAGAACCACTGTATCTACAACACTGACAGTACCTTTATCTTCCCTTCCTTCCGGGCCGAGTTGGACCTGTTGGTGAGAGGGGGGGTACTCAGAGGCGTGTTGTTGATCCTCCCAAATCCTGCCCCAGCTGCTCGGAAGGCTGGAGTAGTGGGGCTCCTTCCTGGCAAGCCTTTCAGAGGAGCTGGAAAGTAGTATGTCAATGTCAGGCCATGTCGTCACTAGTAACCTATGATGTATGACAATGTTGCCACAAGTAGCCACTGATGTACAACAATGTTGTAACCACTGATTATACAACAATGCCATCACTAGTAACCACTGATGTACAACAATGTCGCAACAAGTAACCACTGATGTACGACAATGTCACAACAAGTAACCACTGATGTACAACAATGTCGTCACTATGTTGTTTAATGCAGCACTTAGCAAATATTCCAGCTATATGTTGATGATCTGTAAATATCCAGTGATTGACATCATGAGCATCAATTCACGCAGTTGGGATATGATGATATGCATCAACCAAGACATATATGTCGCCTCATATGACAAGCATATCGCCTTTTACTGCAAGCATGGGTTGCTGAAGACCAATTCTAACCCAGAATTTCATTGGTTGTCACCACTAGTAATCACCGATATATGACAATGTTGCTGAAAGTAGCCACCGACTTATGACAATGGCGCAACAAGCAGCCACCAATACACGACAATGTTGTCACAATGTGTAATAATGATGACACTGCCTGTAGCTTGTCATCTCTCTGTTAACATGGGTTATCTCAATGTACAATAATGTTAACTCAGGTCAGCTAGTAAAAGTATTTGACCTGCTTGTAAACTGCTGTTACTGTGAATGTTGATTTACAACTTAAGTGAAAGGAAAAACAGTGGCCCCTCAGCAAGCCAGTTTGCTTGTTGTTTGACAGCACACTTAGTAATATTACAACTATATGACGGCAGTCTGTAAATAATTCAATCTGGACCAGACAATGTGCACATCATAACATCATGAGAATCGATCTACGCAATTGGGATACCATGACATGCATCAACCAAGTCACCGTGCCTGATCACCTCATCCCGTTAGCCGCCTCTTGTGACAAGCGTGGGTGGCTGAAGACCAATTCTGACCCGGATGTTCACAGGGGTTAGAGCTAAAACACTTTCATTTCAACCGACATTAACATTTGAACCAATGTATTACTTGAATCATCCATCTTCTTAGCAAAACTCCGGATCTTGATGGGCACAGAATTGGGCACGTTGTTCTTCTTGTTGGCAGCCACTTCTGAAGCTGAAAAAAGGAGAGAAAAATATGTCAGTGTTAACGTTTAGGCTTATGGATCTGCACACCACAGATATTTACATTTACAGTGCCAGGTTTAATCAGGCACGGAAGGCCTCTCTCCATCCTGGTGCCAACCATAGTACCAAGTGATCAGGGTTTCCCATGACATAGGAATACTTAGGCATTTGACAATATTTTCCGCAAAAATACTCCTAAACTTATTGGTGATTTTAACAAAAACATGCAATGCATTTAACCGTCGTAACAGAAACTTCAAATATGAGTTATTACGTGTTGCAAACAACTGAATGTTCATGATATTCTTTTATGTCTTAATGAGTATCTTTGAGATCTAAATTAAAACTCATGCATGGCCCTGCAACTCATACTCATGACTGACAAAAACATGAACAGTCAGTCAAGATGACAACATGTCTTCAATGGCTAGGGGAACCTACACTTTTGAAGAAGTTCAGCTCGAAGTGTGGCCGACTTGGGTTTTCTCTTTAGAGCGAAGTGTTTGACAGGCTGTGGAGGCTGGCCAGCAGTGTTCGACAGCGCTGTCTTGTTGAGAAACTGACATTCAATAGGCAGCATGCGCACATCGGCCGACTTTTTCACTGAGATAAACAAACAAACAAGCATGAAATACTCGCATCCCCCACCAATATGACATGCCGGGTTGTGTGCAATGTAAATGGCCTAATTGCAGCACTAAAAAATGTTTACCGCCATTTTCAGTCTAAATCAAAGTCGCTGCCATGGAAAAATCCCAAACTATCAAAAGGCACCAGTTCACCGCTAGATCTATCTATGTGCCAAGTTTGGTGAAGAAATATGGTACGGTTTTCAAGATCTGCTCCGGAAACGAGGACTACCGCCATTTTCAGTCTAAATCAAAGTTGTTGCCATGGAAACTCGAAAAATATATTTTTGAAAAATCCCAAACTATCAAAAGGCACCAGTTCACCGCTAGATCTATCTATGTGCCAAGTTTGGTGAAGAAATATGGTACGGTTTTCAAGATCTGCTCCGGAAACAAAATGTGACGGACGGACGGAAAGACGGCACCCATTCCTATATCCCCCTTCCACTTCGTGGCGGGGGATAATAATGATAGTGTCCTCTCCAGGAGGGAGTGAGCAAGAGAAACATCATCATGAAGACAAACTTTACATGTTTACCAACAAATTGAAAATTTTACAATATATAAGTATTTTTATATACTTATCCTATCTCACACTCCGCATTTCTTATTCTCATTGTGAACCTAAGTGGAAACATGCTTGAACAAAGGTTTCCAGCGTCTAAAAAAAAGGGTTGGATGGTGGGATGCAAATCCCTAGCCGAAAAAAGGCAACAACCGTAGGACATACACGAAGAAGCTGGTGCTAAACACTAAACAGTGATACAGAACAATATTAAGTAACATTGTCTAGTGTCATAAAGACAATACTTGTGGATAGGGAAGAAACACTCCAGAAATGTGGCCCTGATACATGAAACAAGGGTGACACATGAGCATGATAAGATCGGGAAAAACACTTGAAACATAGTAAAAGCCACCTGGGATTCTCTTTTAATGCATCGTCAAAGCCGTCAGTCACGTCCCAGGGATTGAAATGATAGGCTCAGATAAGACTGAGTGAATATGGTTTTACGCCGCTTTTAGCAATATTCCAGCAATATCATGGCGGGGGACACCAGAAATGGGTTTCACACATTGTACCCATGTCGGGAATCGAACCCGGGTCTTCGGCGTGACGAGCGAACGCTTTAACCACTAGGCTACCCGACGGCCCCCTCAGATAAGAAGAGGAACAATTAACCACATCCACAAAAGGACCATCGAACCAATACCCAACAACATGTGCACAAGGCAGAGGTGAGCGTAACATAGGATCGGGACACCGGAGCCTGTCTGTGACTGATGGTGACTTCCTGATGAAGATCAAAGAGGTAGTACATGGAACTAGATCGGGCGCAAGCCTCACTCCATCTGTGCAGATGAGTCCAGGACAGTTGCTGTGCAAGAACCAACGACCTACATTGATGCAGACCTTGGACGTCAGTCACAGAGATGTTTCAGAGGTAGTGGATAGTCTGATCATCCGATCAAGTTAGTCACCTCTTATGACAAGCATGGATTGCTGAAGACCATTTCTAACATGTTCTCATGTTATGTCAGCTTGATGTTGGAGGAAAGCCCAAAGTGGCACAGGTCTTAGACTTAACACCTTGGTTAAACCCACAAGCCTGAATACAGTGCTGACAAATTACCCAGAAACAAACAAAATGAACCGGGATTCAAACCCACAATCACATGGTTCTGGAACACCTAAGGGACACAACTCTGCACAGTGATTTCTGACACCTTACAGGTTCTATTGCACCACGTGAGCATCAACCCAGGGACCAGCAGTGACAAGTGACATATGGTGCAGACTGGGCAGGTGTGTTCAGCTTCCTGTACATGGATTAGAAGGAGCTGGCAAAGCTGGTCATTTCTTGTTGGTTTTGTTCCTGTTTGAGCCAGACTGTGCACACATGTGCATGTAATACCTGTTGAATTCTCAGTTATTTCTAAAACAATATGGGAAAACATTTGGTGGTATGTAACCTAGATGACTGGGCCAGCCATGCCCCTGCCAACAAATAAATATTAAAAACATCTGGGATAAATGTATCAGATTATTCATCTTATAGCGAAAATGGTACAATGGGTTTTTCTAGTTTTACATTCAACGGAATATTTAGGAAATAGTAAGTAAAGAGGTTCCTCACCACTCTTCTTGAGGTCAGACAAGACCTCAGCAAATGTCTGACTGTTTTCCTCCAAGGCTGTGTTCAGTGAGCCTGTAGCTGGGAAGGTCTGTAGAATCTCCGCCACCATGCACACCCATGGGTCAGTGTCCATCATGGCCATGTGCAGAATCTCATCCATCTCCCGTTTCCACTGCAACCATAACAACTTTCTATTACCATAACAACAATATTCTGCTACCATGATGATAACTATATTTTGTAATCATGATGATAACTATATTTTGTAATCATGATAATATTCTGTTACCATGATCACAATAATATGTAACCATGATTGATGTTTCTTAACCATGGTAACCGTAACATTACTCTGGTGATGGTAAGAAGGCAATGTAGTGTTTGCAACTAATCAGGTTCTTTAGTCCTTGAGCATGAGTCTTACATGATCTTGGGATCCCTTCAGAGTTTTCAGAGTAGTCTTATCCTTCAATATGTTAAAGGACAGCTTCACTTTCATGTTCAAGTTGCAAACACAGCTATGCAGTTACTAACTTTCAGATGGCCACATGAAACATTTTCCATATTCAGGATACTTGGTTAACACAGGTTGACCATGTTCAAGTCGGAGACTGTTTATTCCCTAGTTTCAGTCGAGTGTATCGTGGTTGTTGGTGACATGGAGGAAACGCCACTTTTAAGTCTAAAGTGTATATGTTCACCTGAATGGTCAATATTGTAACAATTAAACAGAAGCTATCTGTCATGCCCAGGGGTCCGGAAACCGTCATATGCGCCGGACATGTCCGATTGGGAATCTCAAATGTCCGTTTTAAAATATTGCTTACCGGACATTTTAAAAAGTATTGTCCGGACATTCTTAAATTTTGACCGGACATGATCAACAGTTATGACTGAGCAGTTTCTGTCTGCAGTTGCAACACGATGAAGATTAACTACACTGACAAGCTTTGTTTGTTTTGATTGCTGTAAATACATCGTACCTACATGTCCAATCGGTCAATCACTGTAATAGGCAATAAACTGAGTTGACACTGATTAATCGAGGATTAATTACTGAGAACATCTTGTTAATTTGAGTGAAAGGTGTTTACAACTGTACATTAATACCTTGCATCATCGATGTACCTCATTATCCTCACAATGCTACGATATGTAACCTCAGACAAGAAGCGAAAGCGTGACGACAGCCAGTCGACCGATGCAGATCAGTCGAGCGGATCTGCCAAACCCTCAAAGTCTGGACGATCATTTTGTAAGTCGTGGCTAACGACTTTCACTTGGTTGACATACAATGTGGATTTGCAGATTTTATTGTTTTCAGTAGCTTGTTGTATATTGAATCTTGATTGACCGCCATTTTGCTTTCTCGGACGATCGATATCCAATTTTTTTTATGGTCAATAATTAAGTTCAGATGAAAAAAGTATTCAAATAACTATTGCTCATGCCTATTAGGCCATGTCAACAGTTGAGTTATCCTGATGTAACATCAACAATCTTTTTATGGGTGGTTACCATGTGTTTACCCAAATTGCAGCACACAAAACAGCAACAGGTTTTCATGAAAAACTATGACAGTCAATCTGTCAGAATAACAGCTTGATTAATACCCATTTCAACTACATGCATAATGGTGACCATGGTGACGTGGAAACTCTTACTGAACGCATAATTTTCTGGGGGTTGTATTGTTCTCCTTCTACCCGCCATATTATACCATACTAGATATATCATACTAGAGCTATAATATATGAACAAAAACTAGGATTTGTACATGTTGTATGACCTGTATGCATGTATCGCTGCAATTCTTTTTATGAAAATAATCATTTGTTGCCATTTGGTTTCTAAGCTTCAGTATAAATGGCTGAAGTTTTCAATTAAAATGTTTGGTAGGCATTAAGAGCCATTTGGTTTTGAGGGTTTTTTTCTTGAAAATTCAACAGATGTATCTTGAAATTTCAAAATATATACTAAGTTGAAAATTCATGATAATATGTTGAAATATCAGGATAATAAGTTGAACTTTAGGACTTTAACTCAAAATTTCAACATAGCATCTTGAAATTTTAAGAAAAAAAACAAATGGCCCTAAAAGGCTTCTGTTAAAATGTGTTTCTGTTTTTGGTGCATCACAAACAGTATTACTAGCAGGGGTGTAACTTATAGAGCAAATCTTGTCCAAGTCAATGTATCACAATTGTCCAAGGTCCCAAGGAAATATGTTGATGACAAATTAGAATTAATATCAATCGCCATACTGATGCAATGCTACAATGCGACAGACTGTAATACAACAAATATTTCATGTTAATCATTAACCCTATTAACATGATTAACGGTTGCATTCATTTGTTTGTTGTTTAACGCTGTACTCTGCAGTACTTAGTTGTACACAAATAATCAAGTGTGGATCATGCAAATCAGTGGTTGACATTATGAACAAAACATCTATGCATTGAGGGGTTGTATATAATTTCGTACCCCAAACTGCAAGTGATTTTGTTACCCCTAAGCAATGAATTATGTCATGTAAAATATATTCAAGCTAAGTGAGGACTGTCTGGGTCAGACTATGCCGTGATTAACAGCAAGTGATGACATGTGTTTTTTAAGTCTGTCTGTCTGTGTTTTAGTTTGACTGTACTTGGTATGTGTATGATATCATTCACAGAGACTGACCACTTAATCACACCGACAGCCAGGCAGAATCCGAGGAAGTGATACAGAAATGAAATAAACAACAGCTATGACGGTAAATCCATGTTGGAAGAGGTTCGAGATTAGGGCTGGGGGGAGTAACTCGGGTCGGGTGGGTACAGAGTAGAACCCGGGTACCCACATGAGTACCCGGACCCGTGGTTAGTCATGTGATATGTAGTTTAATGACAAAAATTATCTAGAACTCTATGGTTACACTACAAGTCACTAATGTTTGCATTTCTTTCTGACTATGCACCCACTCTTTCTGACTTTTCATATAGTTGAATAAAGATATAACTAAAGTCAACTTCAGTGTATGTATGACCAGATCATTAAATACATGTGTCTAAATATTTTGCAAGTGCTGTGGTAAAACAAAATTCCCAATCGGACATTTTGTATCGCTTGAAACCTACAGTGGGTACCCGGGTAGTAAATTTGGACTCTTCCCAGCCCTAGTCGAGATAAGTGACTGATATTAGCGTTCACCAGGTAATCTGAAATCTCCCTGGCCGGGGTATGGCTCGCATACTCACGAAATTACCAGCACGTCAACATTTAGTTCCAAACGATTAGTATTATCTCATGTATTGCTTCTTCAAAAAACAAATTTCTAACTGATTCTTATATATGACACAAAGTTGATTCTTGATTTGGACTGAAAAGAATGCCATTTTCACAACTTTGTGTCAATATTTTTTTCCGCGAAACGTCATCTCACCACTTCGGTGTTTCGCCGTGGAACGTGTAGGAAAGACAGCATGAGCTTGACCTTGACATGCGGCTGAAGTGTATGGAAACATTCCAGGATACTTAACAAACGTTCCTTGCTTAGTTGCGAGCAAATTGTACGTCCAGACCACAAATCGTCCGTAGATCCTAGTTTATTATGAAGCCACAGTGCAGTGTCACCGGAGGCCATATTGAAAAGAAGCGGGCCGAGCCAAAATACATAGTTCTGATTGGTTGATAATGAAAATCCGGAAGCTCATTCCCTTTTTACCTCCCTTTAGCCGAAGAAATCGTTTTAGTTTTGATTTTATGAGCGCATCTTCACATAATCGCAGAATCAACGAATACACCACATACGACCATTATACATATAGGATAATTCTCTGTTACTTACTTGGCAAACTGATTCGGCATTCAAACGAAATATTTGATCCTCTCAAATTTACCCATAAAATGTGAGGACAGACATTCAATCTGTAAAAACTTTGTAAAAACGCAACATTTTGTTTTAATATGTGTTGTATGAGTCATCGCTCATCTCTCATTAAATTGATTCTATGTACTTATGGACTCTTTATATAAAGGGACAAATTAAGATCAATCTGCAAGAATGAATATACTATTGTAGAAAATTGTTGAAGTACACAGCAGTTATATATGCTTTACACCAAGTTTCAACCCTGATCCTTATAAACCACATAAAAAGAAATAATATTTCTAATATCATACACTTTTCCCAATCGTTTCACAAAGAACAGAGTACAATCCTAATGACTTGAACAAAACAAAGTTGTTCTCATAAGGAGAACAAGACATGCTACTGTTTAGCGTCCTCGGTCTGGCTCAGAGATGTTTACAGAAACAAAACTGCATTTTGAGAAAATTAAAGAGCGTTACAGTATATCCTGAGCAGTGGCTATCAATACTTATTTCAATAAAGCAGCCTATGAGAATCAGTTTAATCATCGGTGGAAACAAGATGGACAACCCAGTCAGCGGGTCTGACCCGATCCCGCATGTCGCCTCTTACGACAATTTTACGGCAGGCATGAATTACTGAAGACCTATTGTATCTCAAATCTTCTAGGGTCGCTTGCTCTGTAATACTGGTTAAAGCGCTTAGCGTTCGCTCGTCACGCGGAAGGCCCAGGTTCGATTCCCACATGTATACAATGTGTGAAACCTTTTGTGGCGTCGTGATATTGCTGGAAAAGTGCTTAAAGCGACGTGAAACCATAGTTTACTCACGCACTATCAATGAAACATTTCGGCCGCTGTTTTGATTTGTTATCGATTATCTATATTATATTTACTTGTCCTTATCTACTTTGAACAGTACTGTCACGTGATGCAAGTCATTGATAAAGCGTTGAGGATCAGCGATAGAGACTAACTGGCGGCTATAACAGTCTCTTGTAGTTTCCCTTCATGATGTTATAATGCTAGTTTGTTTGTTGTTTAACGCCACACCCCAGCTATATGACGGCGGTCTGTAAATAATCGAGTCATGACCAGACAGTCTGCGATGATAGAAAATGACAGCTATTACAAACCGACAACATTGACTCTCCCGAGTCCATAGTCAGTCTCAATTATTAAATTAGAGTTATTTTCCGTATACACCTTCTCGTATACAAATCTGTTAATGAACTCTCAAGGGAAACTAATTTACGTACTTCCATTTTCATTTTTCGAGCCTTTTGGCGTTGTTTTTTTGTCAACAAAATCGTTTCAATCATAATGACACCCGTGCATAAAGTAAGTGCGTGACGACAGTTGACGGTTGAACCCAGGACAGGCTGATCCTGACACGTCTAAGGGGCATAACGCTGCAGTCTCATACCAGTGAGTCATGCGATGACTGAGTGAATGCTTGGTTTACCGCCGCTTTGAACAGTGTTTCAGTTGAATCATGCTACTCAGGGGGCGGGGGGAGGGAGTCCTACATGATGCATGTCTTACACACTAAGTACTGTGGTAAAACCCCCGAATACAGGCATGGTGCTTACGAACCGTGAAACACTATCACGGCTAAATTGGGATTCGGAGGTTTTTGGCACGTCTCAGACGACGAGGAGAGAAAGAAACAGGGAAGTATGTGTCAAATTGTCATAAACGGTTCAGATGTTTATATGTAGTCGTGTATATTTACTCGATTATCCAGTAAATATTTTATCTCCAATATATTGTGATATAAACTCTTCGCCTGGAATCATTCGTCTCTCTTATCACACATTTAACACAGTGAGTGGGTGAGTTGGGTTTAACGCCGCTTTTAACATTATTCCAATAATATCACGACGTGTCAGCTTAATGTGGGAGGAAAGCCCGGAGTGATGCAGGTCTCAGACGTTTACCACTTCGGTGAAACCCACGAGCACGGGTATGGTGCTGACAAACCTAGAAACATAATCGGGGCGAACAATCGTAGGTTACGCGCGTGCCCAAGAGACGCAACTCTGCACAGCAAATCGCTACGCCTTAGACGACTATGCCACTATGCCCCCAATTTAACACAGAATGTCTGAAATTAACAACCAATCAAAATGCCTCTACCTGAACGCGAGTTCAAAATGGCTTCTTCCTCATTTCCAGGGTACTAAGATGACAGACGGGTGCTACAAGACGTTCAGTTGGTTGCATTTGAGATGACACACAAAAAGTTCTGCCCTGCGTTCAATTGGCAGAATGTTTCTGAACGTTCCGGGCGTCTTGTCGAACGGACCGTCTTCATGCAATGTCTTGCGCCGACAAAGATGGCGTCTGATACAGAGGCAACGCCTGTTCTCGTGTAGCGAATGACACATTTTGGGCCATAACAAGACACGAGTGTTATAGGTATATATACAAAACAATGACTGAAATTTGGAATCATTTCATATCAGGATATATTTTAACTTGTGTCATCTTCTCGAGGCAAGGGAGTTCTACCCGAGGCAATGGAATTAACTGACTACAAAGTCCAGTTTCCACCCTTGCCGAACTAGGCTGGAATTTCGTGGCTCGATCGTAGCGCCACCAGTGGCTATTACGAGTTATGTCCCTTCTTTTCCCCTCCTATTGACCATTCAGACTTCACTTCTCATCTCGCTTGCATTTGTTTCAAACAAAATGGCGACGCCCAGTCAAGACGATCGGATCGATAATCAAGATCGTTTTTGTAATATAAAGGGTCTTAAGTGCATCCAATCACGTGAGCACCTTAATTAAAACATGAAATGATTTGGAAAATATCTGTTGACGCAAAGTTGGAAATACACATGCTTTACAGACCCTGCAACTGATCGATCCTGCAGTTTTCACAACGCGATTTTGATTGTACTATGCATAGTCTCGTTAGTCCAGCCAAAATAAAACTCCATAATTTCAGCCTAGTTCAGCAAGGGTGGAAACTGGACTTTGTATTCAGTTAATTCCATTGCCTCGGGTAGATGGATTTCTGTTTATACTGTATGTACCAGAGTAACTGTCATTGTACTTTGAAAAGTAGTTCTTGCCTCGTTAATCAGCACGGTCATAATGGCCATTTAAATGTTGAAATTAGGATGGTAGTCGCACAATAGAGAAACGTCGCCACTTCGCACTGGTTGTGTTAGCATACATGCCGGGGATCATGGGATGTGTGGTTGAATTCGTAGACACACCAACTCGTAGACTCACATGGTGGTGAATTCGTAGAAAAGCGGGGAGTAGACACCATTTTGTGGGTGTGGAATTGAGAGAATATGTATATTAAGGAAGAGAATATATGGATGGCAACTTCTTTATTATGAGAAACGCAACGTTTCGGAGTATATGCTGACTCCTTCATTCACCGGAAGTTGACATCCATATATTCTCTTCCTTATGTGAATCACTTCTAAATACCTTTCAAAGACCTAATATATGTATTGAATATTATGAATACTTAGATTATTTCACGTGTCTTTCATTTGCCTCCATGACAATTTGGTTGATTGTTTTTTAAATAGATTCAGCTCTAAGGTTATAATTGCTATTATCTGAGACTTAAAGATATCACGGAGATATTCAGGTGCAATAACGTTGTTCATTTGATAAAATGTCTGATTTTAAAGGGCATATCCTTTAGAGATTTGAAACAGGTTTCTTTTTAAAGTTTACCATGACCGTTGCGACGAACCGCTCCAAAAACAGTTCTCGCTACCGCTGAAACTGAGGTCTGAATTTAATTAGATTGCTTTTGTGTCGACATAGCCCTCCACACTGGACGGATGTTCTTAGCTGTGCGGTAACGACAACCATGGTTGATGATGTTGGAAATTGTGAAGCCGCTACATTCGCTGGTATGTTGCTGTCATCCTCAGTTAATTCTCCAAAGAGGACTGCCAGTACAGTGTCCCCCATTTTGTGAAACGTTTGCACAAAACAAGGCGTTTACTAAGCAAAACGTTTTTCAAGAACGTTACTGCAAAACAAGACGTTCATTAAGAGTACAGACGCATTTATGACACGCGAGAAAACGTAGTCTGTTGAAGGCAAAGCTGGTCACATTGCCGCTTGTTTCAATCATAAAAACAATGTACTATTATTGGTCGTCTATTTTCAGCTTTGTTGTGATTTACTAGAGTATTTATTTATTTACTATTTATCACACTGGTGAGATATAATAGTGTGGATAGTCTTGGGTGACATGCGTGACATGATATAATGTTATGGATGAGAGTTATGTCCAGAATGGGGAAATGGAATCGTATCACATCAGATATAAATATTTATATATTTGTTTCAATACTGTGACACAGATGTTTCTCTCCTGAATTTGAGGAGATCCGCTCTGATTGTTAGAATGCATAGTCAAGGACAAGGTCAGGTCTTTTCTTGCTAATCAAGGTCAACAAGATGGCTTCCAAACATTCAGAGATTATCCAGTTATGACTATAATGTTGTCGTCCAATAAAACTTCTAGGGGAGAGGTGGTCGAGTGGTACCTTTATCTGTAGAGTTGCGCCCCATCAGCTTCCAGGATCCGAAGGTGAAAGTTTCGAACATGTATCGCTTTTGACCCTCATCCCCTATTTTAATGACACGCCCTGATTGAAAAAACACTGCATAGAGCGCCCCCCGGCCTCAACTTACTCATACAGTAAAGGGGAGCGGCAGGCCAAAAGACGTTAAAAGATGGTACTTGTTGTTACCATGCCTGGTGCTAGACATTCAGGGCACGAAAGAAGGACTGGTACAAGCAGACACACACACACACACACACACACACACACACACACACACACACACACACACACAAACACACTAAAGGAGCAATAATCCTGAACGTGACGTTTGACTCCTTTTTACCTTACCTCACCCAGCAAAGCTACCAAACAACGATAACTACTGCAGTAAGGAAACATGTAGGTGTATGTATGCATGTGGTATTTTGTGTTTTCTATTTCCGTCAACCAGTGTCAACATGATCTATGGATTAAAGAGCTTCTGGGTCAGATAAGGTTCCTCAGTACATCACGTATATCGTAAAAACAAATTCAAAGAGACATCGTGTTGCGAAACGTTGTTCATACTATCAACCACTGGTTTGTCTGGTCCAGGCTCGATCATTTACAGGCCGTCATGAGGTAGCTGGAACGATGCTGTGTCGTTATCAACATTTGCCCATTCACTCACTCTCTCACCCACTCACTCACTATATAATCTGGTGAAATGAGAACCCCAGCGACTGATTAGATTAACAATTTATTGCACGATTTAGAAATATCTTGTGACTAGATTTATAGAAATCATTTTAATCTCGCTTAATCAAAATCCTGAATTTTATTTAAAGATCCAAAGTTTCTAAATTGGCTTTGTACATCATGACAAATCAACAAATACAATGTTCACATTTCAAAGAAAGCTTGAACACCTGGTACAAAGGCTGAAGCATGAAGTTCAGCAACGACAGTCAGTTTGGTATTGAGCTAATATTTTGACAAATACTCGGAGATGTGTACCACAATAACCAGTATATCACAATTATGCATTCATGGGAAATTATGAAAGGCCTAACATCAATGGTATAAGTATATAGTTTACACAATGATTTGATTTTTAATCTCTAGCACCATTTGAAATCAATAAAGTTAAATATCGATATGCGTGCTATACAATCACTCAGTATAATCAGCAGACAGGGAATCAAGCAAGGTAACTTTACACGCGTCACCAAACGGAAACCGGTTTCTTCAGAGCAAATTTCTGATCTGGAATCAGTATCAGTTCATTCGGCTGACATCGGCTATGTCCGTAAACAAACTCCGATCATGTGTGAATGAAAAAACAGGTCCGAGACACTTGGCTTACTTGATCTATTTTACAGTCGTTTGCAGGTCTGACTGGCAAGCGATTACATGCACGTTGACTTGTCAACTAGTGCAAAAGACAGGATGTTGAAAAACTAGTATTTCTGCTCCAAGGTTGAGAGTTTTCTCTACAGCTGTTGGATCGGCACATCACGTGCAAGTCGCGGAGTACGGAAATGAGCAAAAAATGGCGACGAAGCGCATAACAGTGATTGGATAGTCTTTTCTTAATACTTGCTTGTTTCCCTGCTGCAATCACGTGACCGACAGACAAACATACAGACGGACAGATAAACAAACTGTTGCCAGGTGAGCTTCAGCTTATAGGTGGTTCACTCACACCTGAAACAAAACATACTATCATAAATACATAGGTTTTAATATATGCTTAACTAGAAACTATGGATACAGAACAAAACTGTGACATAATCGTTTGGTCGTATTCACAATTGGATATTCAATAATTCATTACGTCTTGAACGTCAGAAACGTCTTGAACGACTTCATTCAAAGACGCAGAAACAACAATTTGGAATCAAAGTTACTTCATCTACTTTAGCTGAATTTAGCAATAAATGTAACTGTAACAGGGCCTCCCATTCCGTCAGGTCACTACTTTTTTAATCAAATTCTCATGCATTATTTCTGTGTAGTTTACACATATGTAAATTTACATACATCTGTAGGATCCCCACAATAACCGTAGCTGTTACTAGGTCTGTTTGAATTGTTGTCCGCAATGGTACCACAGAGTCAACCCAAGCCACCTTTCTATACACACAAGTGTAGCCTGCATATACACACAAGTGTAGCCTGTATATACACACAAGTGTAGCCTGTATATACACACAAGTGTAGCCTGTATATACACACAAGTGTAGCCTGTATATACACACAAGACACGCCTATCTTCTCAATGCAGGTAACCGGTTTCAGTTTGGCTGTAAACTGTAGTGTGTACAATATGCCGAGTGTGCTGGGTACTCTTACACCACGCAACCCTGACGTCAGACCAGATGAATACCCCAGCTACATTTGTGCAACAGAAAGATGCTGGGAGTGTTTCTGTTATAAGTGTGCTGACAATGACCCCAATAGCTCACCCCCGCCTCCAACTACATCAAATAAAATGTGACCTTGACCTACCAAAGATCCATCAACGACCTTGATTCTCGCCTTGGCGTAGTCCTTGCTCTCCGAGTTCTTGGCCACACAGGTGTAGTCACCCTCGTGGGACTTCTTCAGGCCCTCGATCTGCAGCCAGCCGGTGATTTGGAAGGCCCCTGGGCCACCACGGGCGGCGGTCAGCATGTACTGGTCATCCCCTGAGGGGTCACAGAAACAGATACGAACTATCAACTGGACGACTACCCTCTTTTCAACACTAAACTACATGTAAGCCCCTCTGAGTTGGATAAAGTAACACTGTGGTAAACTGTTTCTAATTTATTTCAAACCAGGGTGTCAATGTGACTATTTTGATGAAATGACAGAGAAGATAAATAAATAGCATTTTTGTTTTGTCTCCGAGAACAATGCCTGAACAATTAAACATAAAGTTGTCCACACCCCAGACGTGACAGCATAACCCTACATTCGGCGTATCTCAAATTATTCAGTTTACTTTAAATTATCCGACATGATCCTTATTGTACACACGCTGAAGACTTATCGAGGGGGGAATACGGTTTAGTGTACGCACAGTGTAACCATGTACCGAAACCGACACTTTTACCCCCATATTTATCAGTTACCATAATTTAAAAACAACGGGCGAGAATCGTTTGTTTGTGGCCATAGCATCAGGTTTGCACCAGACGACAATGTGTTTATGTTTAGACTCCATGCATCACGTACATCTACAGTCAATAGTCTTCAGGCTGTACAAAGAAAATAGATCGGCAACATTTCAGTTGCCATGACGGCGGGGTCTAGTCTTTTCCAGATAATGGGTATTGCCAACGGATTAAAACCAGTATACAATGTCCCGATTTCCACCGTCCCTCTATACAATTTATTTAGATATTTAATAAAACAATATAATCAAGAACTGTACAGTCGCAGTACTCGGTCATAATTCGTTAATTCAGAAATTTGTTAATCCTTGCGATGTGATTCCTATATGTACAATATGTATGTATCACTACAACCTAAGTAGGTATAAGGTATAATGCTACGGACCTGGCACGGAGAAGGACTTGCCGTCCACTCTGGTGAAGAGCCAGGCGATGTTGGGGGTGGGGTTGCCGACAGCCTCGCAGGACAAAACCACAGATCCACCAGTGTAGTTACGCGTGAACTCGGGGGGAGTCACGATCGTTGCACCTGGAAATAAATAATTCAATAAATGAATGTGACTACACGAGCAGCCCCATATTTCCCCGCACAACCAGGGTCATACAGTAGCATCGCGATGAAAGCCTTCTCTTCTCTACACCCGATGGGATTCCCAACATGAATCTGAAGGAAGCTCATTCCTGCAGATTCCCACATTACAAGGACTGGTGTCATGGCTGTAATATGTATGCTGTTTATTTGTTGTTTAGCGTTCCACTCAACAATATTACAGCTGTATGAGGGCAGCCTGTAAATAATCAAACCTGGACCAGACAATCCAGTGACTGATATTTTGGGAACAACGATCCAAGCTGTTGGGGACGATGACACGCAAACAAGCAAAAGTCCCCGAGTGTGGCCACCCGATCCATTCGGTCGCCTCTGACGACCAGCGTAGGTGGCTGGGCACTCCGCATGCGCACAGTGTTATCATGTATTTTAGAATACATCAATTTTACAATTGTCAGCAGAGAAAACCTCTCATTCAAAAGGGAAAATTGAAAATGATACAATTCTACATGTTGTGTCTATTGCATTGCATGGCCTGTGTGTGTTCATCGGAATTACTACAAATAAACCTTGTCAGTCAGGACCCCATTAATCCGGAAACCTCTTTTCCTAAAGCTTACTTTTGGGGAAAAGTCTCATACAGTTGAAGGGACATTGCCACTAACAAATGATTCGATAAGCCGGATATTCCGGACTTTCACTATAACTTTAAACGTAGTTGTCTGGATTAATTAGGTTTCACTGTATATAGCCATCTAGGAAAGCTGAATACACAGCCTTGCTCTAAGGTCATACAGAGATGATGATTCCATGGATGTATAGTAATTCTACCTTTATAATAAGCAAGTCTGGATGAGCCTTTTTACAGGGACAATTTGTTCCTATTATTTACATAATCTAGGAATTATGATTTAAACTAATAATCACTTCCTTACAGACTTGTGCATGTCTAGTAAATATACACCACGCAGTCTTCCTGCCTCACCATCTGACAAGACGTTCGGGCCGCGCCTACCGTTATACACAGTCTAGAATCAAGTTGATTCACCCTGGCGTACTGAACAAAACCATATTCCGACAAGCCAGGCCCTTGTTTACAAGTCTCCTACTGACGGCGAGGTGCAGTCACTGACCCCAGCTAGATGTAAGGATTGTACGTGCTGGCTTTCACCCCCAGCCAATTCCCACAACACGACATGCCTGGTGAAATTATACACTAAACAAACTACATAGTTACATAATTTTCGGTTCACTGAGTTTGACGTGACATATTCCATCTCGGTGTCGCCGTGGTAACGAAGGGAGCGGATGTTTGAGAAATCTCATCATAATAAGGGGGTCTCCACGGGTGCTCGCCACCAGGAGGATGTCAGGATGGAATTAGGTCACATAGTTCCAGGGAGGAATGCCCGTGGGTCTTACCAGTGGGGTATCTTATCTCATGGTAACTCAACACTGCAGGCTTACATTGCTAGATAGACTGATATTTAGTCCCAGAAATAAAGTTATATCCCAGAAAAAAATTCAAAATGTATCCCAGAACAAATTATTAACTTGCCAAATCATCCTAGACTTGTGTAGGGCTCCTTTTTTATTTTTTTTCTATGGTCTGGGAGACAGACTAGTAAAGTAGACACTGGTAGAGGTCGCGCCGAGTTGTATTTCCCTTTAATAATGGTGTCTGTATTGTTTAGATCTATTTCATTTCCTTGTAACCGTTTTGCGTTGTTGGTCAGGAAGTTTAAATGATTGTGTCACTATGGCCAAAGATAGACCGCAGCGAGAGGCGAAGTAATACATTTATTTTTTAACACCACATTCAACAATATTACAGCTGTATGGCGACAGCCTGAAATGCATATGCAGACATCTAATTGGTATAACGAACAACCCGGAATCCCTGTGGGGGTGAAGTAGTAGTAGTTGGTTTGTTTGTCTGTCAGTTTAACAGTATTTAGCAGTATTCCAGCTATATGCAGAGCAAGACAACACAATCAAGTGATTGCTATTGTGAACAACGATCAACGCTGTCGGGGTATAGCTCCCCACATCTTCCCGAGGCAAGTGAGTTAACTGACTATAAAAGTCCAGTTTCCACCCTTGCCTAACTAGGCTGGAATTTCGAGGCTCGATAGTGGCTATTACGAGTTATGTCCATTTTATGCCCACCCTATTGATCAATCAGATTCCACCTCTCATATCACATGCATTTGCTTCAAACAAAATGGCTGCGCACAGTCAAGACGATCTGATCGGCAATCAAGATCTGTATCGTCATAAAACGGGTGTTGCCTTGCGAAGTACATGAAATCACTTGAACAAATTGCTTAAAATATTAAAATATTTGAAAAATAACTGTCGACTTCCTTTTGACGGCATATATGCTTTGCAAATCCTGCAATTGACCGAAATCTGCACGGCAGCTGCCGTGTTGTTTACGAACCGGATGTTGCTTTCGTTACGCGCCGCGTTAAACTATGCATAAACTTGTTAGTCAAGCCAAAATAGAAATTAGAAATTCGGGCCAAACTCGGCAAGGGCGGAAATTGGACTTTTATAGTCAGTTAACTCCCTTGCCTCGGGAAGATGTCAGGGCTCGATGATACCAGGTCACCGAACTTGATCCATTTGAACGCCTTTTATAGCCAGCTTAGGTTGCTGGGGATCTATTCTAATTTATTCAACATTCAGAATCATAACCTTCCATCACAATAACACTTATATACCAATTCATATTAAACACGTATTATCACAATACTCCTATATATATTCAAATGAATCCAGTCAATTTTCTGACAAAGAGAAAGCAAGCAGGAAAGTTCGTTTCAGACAAACACCATTACGAGCCGACCATAGTAAACAGTATCAAACATTACTCAACGGGATTTATGTCCCACTTAGACGCTATCGACAAGTTCAGCAATTGTGACGCAAGTCCAGATATAGACCACACAGCACACCTGGTAACAGGAGTTGTAAGTATCCAGGCTGTCACCTTTCACACCCAAGTGTCCTTTTTCCTGACAGACCAACACTCTTATCTACAAGGGGCGATCCCAATTACGTAACTTGACGTATCTCTTCTGTCGTAAGCTAACAAGATGGCGACCATTTTAGTATGAAATCGTTTTCCTTTAGCAGATATTTCTGATTTGTACTTTTTTTGGAAATTGTCAATGTGTTTTCTTGTTTACTATTTTGTATCATGATATTATAGATAGAACGTTGCTATGATAACAGAAGATAACAGAAGTATAAGTATCTACTTATCTAGCATGTGTTACTTATGTTTCCAAGTGCAACCATGGCAACAGTTTATATTTAATATAATGTGCCCAATATAATCACTTAACGACGCATATTAGAAATATGCTGACGACTATGTTCTGGACCAGATGTTCGATCTGTTTCGCGGAATGGTTCAAATATGTTACACATCAACTGGAAACGTTTTACCTTACAAATATTCTTGTCGAAAATAGACAAATTAGTCAGAAAGAAACGAGAAAATAAAATGTAGCCTCTAGTCAATGAACAAATGTTTACCTGATGGGAATACTGACCAATCAGAACCCAGGTCATAGCGATAAGACAATCGTGAGAGTTTGGGAATCTCGGATTGTTTCAACACAGAGTGCCTTTGAACTTTTATTATCCATTACGATACTTATAGCTTACTCATTTGTCTTCGAACGATGAATACACGCTGCATACTCACCAATAATAGTGAACTTAAATTAAGGGGAAACTCATCCGTCGTGTTATCGGGCGACCATGGTGCTTCGATTCTCCCATATACAGAATCGGAGAAACATTTTGGCCAATCTTCATAATATAACAAGATCCTAATGTTAAATGGCTCTAAATAATACAAAATGTAAACAAAATGTAAACGAATGCTATACCTGGTTCGCAGGGTCCAGACTTTTTAATCTGAATCTTTTTTCCGCTCCTTGCCTCGGCAGCAAACATCTGACATACGTTGTTATATGTGACGCCATCTTTGCCGCAGATGATTTCATCAGTTTCGCAAAGGCAGTAGTGCCCGACGTCCACCTTGCTGCACTTCAGTCCGGTGCCGCAGTCGCCGTACCCCTCAGGCTTCAGTTTGTGGTTACATTCCTCACCCTCCATCTTCAAGCAAATCTCGCAGCATTTGCACTCATCTTGTGTCTTCCCCGCCAGACACGAGACGGACGGACAGGCACTTCTGTCACACTCGCCACAACCTTTGAGTGTACCTGCGTTGCAGACGACAACGAGCCCAAGAAGGGCGACCAACCATAGAGAATTCATCTTAAAGATGGACCTCGGTTCCTACTCGCTTCAAAGATGAGCAAAACAAAGACTCGGTAAACTTGTGTCTTAAAAATGGTGGATCTCGAAACTGACGTGGCTGCACCGAAATAGCTGTGTAATCCTATACTTCATCCCCCGCCTGCTCGCTGTAACCCTCCTCGCTGATCCGTGGGCCAAACCATTACAGATGGCGGACACAGGAAGTGCGGGGTAACCACTCACGCTGGAGGAATTTCCTCAGATGTTAGTAACGCCAACTGGAAATACTTGTTTGAATTATGTCCAATCTGTATGTGTGACTGAATGAATGTATCGGACGTTATGTCACGTATTTCCGCCTTGATGAAAATCTATCTGTTTATTGTTCTACAACCTCCCTCCCTCTGTATTCTTAATGGTACCGACCGACCAACATATTGTGTTTCTTAATTTGGGTGGACCAAGCAGGTAACCGGATTATTACGATAAGAGGAAATAAATAAAGCAAATAATGTTCGCAAAGTCACGAACAATTAAAGCAACTTTTATTCTTCGTGAATCTGTGAAAACGTGAGTCATGTTAAGATAAAGATTATAGGGATAACAGTATCTGAATCCAAAAGTGATCAAATATCTTATGTACATTCTGTCTCATTGGACACAGGAATATTACCTCCAATTCTATAGTTACAGTCAATTATTTTCATCTACATTAAACCGCGGTAATTTAGGTCCGTGATTAAACTGACACGCAGTGATATAGCTGAAATATACCAAAATAGTTAGGGATCATGAATATTTTGGGGAATATTTTCTGTAGTGAAGACGCAATTTCTTAGAATGTCCTCCAAACCAATCATGATACCTAACTTTTTGTTTAGAATAGTTAAAAACGGCATTAAAATCTAACTCACCTATTTAAGTTAATTCTATAGGCTACAGTTCGACATAACAGGGTTCGTCATAACGAAAGTTATCATTATCAATAGTGGACATTAACTCCAAAGCGATTCAGTTCGATATACGGCTTTGTACGGGTTTTACGGAAGTCTCAGAGCTAAAATCACTTACTTAAATGGGACACAGTTTGTTATATCCACAATACGCTATTATCATGGAAAATAGTCTAGGTCGCTCTGCAGAAGTGGTGTGGTCCTGGGTTCGAATCCAAGATCCGCCCAAGAACACCATTCTCGTGTTCGTGGGTTAAATCCAAGGTTGTAAACCTGACACGCCATGATGTAACCGGTATACTGTTCGAAGCGGCGTTAAAACAAACTCACTCAGCATATCTGAGTGAAATAACTGCAGCGCTACAGGATCGTTGTTGGGGGACTCTGGCGTCCATCTTGACCAGGCAATAAAACAATTTCAACTTTCATCCTGATGGATAAGCCAGGCGTGTCATTGCTAGGCCATGTATGCGTTGCCGGGCAAAATAGAGTAACAGAATTTGCCTCATGTAGTGTTCAATCTTTACAAGGCCGCCATAAACAAGCATCTGGTAGTGATGCTGGGTTTAGGCTAACGTTTGACTCCTTCATGAGTACAGGCTAACATGTAGGCCCAGAAATAAAATAATAAAGCTTATTTAAGAATATATATCTATAAACAAATACTTTATTAGTCTGATTGGAGTCCAGAACGATGCTAATGTCAGCCCTGAGGTAATCTAGACTTGAGTTGGATTCATTTCTTTAATTCATCTTCCTAGGTTTTGGAGACAGACTAGCATGGTTATTGATATAAGCTGATATTACCTTCGCATCGGCAATATTTCAGGCATGTAACGTCTTTTGACTGGTGGTGTGTAAACACTAAAACATACAAGTAACTGTGAAAACATTCCTAGTTATCATATCGCGGTTTTCCGAAGGTCGTAAATAAGATGTTACTGGAGTGTAATTGGGTGGAAGATGGCTGCCATGGGCTCTCTTCATACTTTTCCTGGTTTTGAAGAACATTTGAAACAAAATACAATTCTCCCTGGTAATGCATGTTATTGTCATATCGATATATAAATTTCACCAGCTGAGATCGACACCAATCTGAAAGGGAGAAAAGGTTAGGTAAAAGGTTTGTTTTTACCCTACTTGGCATTAGAATGTTATCCATCTATCCTGCTATGCCTTGTGTGTACGTACACATAGACGATTGATCAATTCATCAGTCCATATCATAATTCTTATAAGTTTTTGTCAGTAAATTAATCAAATCACAGGGGCGTTGGAATAGCGAAGTGTTTAAATTGCCCTCTTGTCGATTTCTTACATGGAAGTATGTTGTGAGCATGTTTCCGGTGTTCTCTGCCCTTATATTACTTGGCACATTGCTAAATCCTGCGCAAACTCACTCACTCACAATAATTTTGTTTTTGCGCATTAACAAGGTTATACGAGGGGCGATGAGACACCATTACATAAGATTAAAATATCCTTGTTTCATTCGTGTCCCCGTAGGGAGTCTAGGAGCAGGGAAGATCCCCAGCATCCAATGGCGGCCCCAAGAACCGCCTACAATGAGGATCCGATGGCCACAATGTGTGATCTGGTTGTCATTTGTACCCGTTGACGCGGATCGTTGTTCATGCTAGGAGTCACTGGTTTTCCTTACGAAACTCGATCATTTCCAGGCTGTTGTGATATAGCCTGGGTGTTGCTGACTAAGGAATCCTTCCGAGACAAATATGGTTATAAAGTTGTACTTTATGTCTGTGAGAAAGGTTGCGCTATCCTTCTGTGTGCCGTTTGCCACCTCGCACCCGTGGAGAAATAGGAATAGTCTGTCTGAAGTCCGGCCCTGAACCCCTGCTGTCAGCTGAGGCCACTGATTCAGGAATTCGTCTTGATAAGTGATCCAAGACAAATCATTGAATGCCGTGGTTTTATAACTTCATCAAGCGTTAGGGGCACGGGTGGCCAAGTCGTCTAATTAGCTGTGCAGAGTTGCGTCCCTTTGGCAGGCCAGAAATCTATGATTGTGGGTTCGAATCCCGGTTCGCCCCGATTATTTCTCTAGGTTTGTCAGCACCATTCCCGTGCTCGTGGGTTTAACCGAAGTGGTAAATGTCTGAGACCTGCATCACTTCGGGCTTTCCTCCCACATAAGGCTGACACGCCGTGATATAACTGGAATAATGTTAAAAGCGGCGTTAAACCCAACTCACTCGCTCATCAAGCGTTGGTCAGATCTGCTCCCTTGAACTTCAGCGCGCCAAGGCTACGTCAAAGAAGACCTTTGACGAATCCTTGACGTAGATGAGAAGGGAGTAGTGGAGCATCCACCCCCACCCTGCATTGTGTCACCCACGCCATACTGTATGCTGTCACCAATTCCATGTCAAGTACCACGACCATACTCGGATGTGGTAGCGCTGTAGGGACACCGATAACTCCATTTTCTGTTCACAATTGCGCGAGGAGCTAATGGAGGGGACGTCACCTGTAGCGGCAGGAACAATAACTGATTCCTGATGGTCGAGGTTTTTTGTTATTACCTTGAACACCACTTGCTGAAACACGCTGTCCCATTCTCTTTCTTTACGATGGACATAGGTCCCATTTATCTCTGCCATTCATAAGCAGGTCACGTGAACATGATACTACTCTGTTTGTCCCGCCAGCACACATCCCACGTGTCGGCTGTTTCGGGCAGTTTTGCAGGGTTTACAACAACCTAAGGTATTCTACCGGCTTTGTAAGCATACGTTCAGTTTGTCAGTGGGCATGTCAAGTCATTCATTATCACTGACTCCAACGATTCGTCAGGCCTCTTTCAAGGCATGTAGCATTTACTCCTTTTGACCCGCTGACTGCAATGACCTATATGAACTTTGCCCCTTCAAGTCTGCTTTTCATCAAGAGCAATCGTCAAGTGCCATGATGAATAAGGTAGACGGCGGGCAGCAGGACTGTACAGGACATTCGGTTACACAAGAAGACGGTGTGGCATTCTTCAGCAGGAAGCAGGATGTTCTCGTGAAGACATCGCAGCCGACAAAAAAAAGGAGAGTCATCAGTACAATCGTTGGGGGCAAAGCAATTACTGAGGACTTGGATCTGAAGAAGATCGTTGAACGCCAGGCAAACCACCCACCAGTCAGAGAGGGCAATGCCACCAAAGCAAACACATCTGGTGTCATCTCGCGTCCTTCCGACATCCAATGTTCTGATTCAAACGACGAAATCGACGATATGTACGGCCATTGCCACAAACTCCAACCCGAGGGACTCGAGCATGTGCCCCGTCGTGTTTGTGTCGTGGGCCCAGTACACGCACCCTTCTTCGCATCATTTGGTGCATTTGAAAGTATAAACCCTTGTTACAGTAGCTACGCGTGCACTCTTGGGTCCTAGGGTCGGTGTCACAACGAAAAAGAAGAATAACTAGAACACCTGAGACATGTACATTATATCTGAAAGTGAATGGGACCCTTCTTTTATTCACAAGAACGACCACTATCTTCTACATACTTTTGTATAATTACTCATCTTATGGATCACTTGCGACGAAAAGTAATGGCACGAGGATGTTAAACTACTGACATTTTAACATTATGAATATGAATGATGCCATAATAATACTTCTGTTTAAACATAAACATACGACCGAAACAGTCTATTCTTCGTTGAGCATATATCCCCCAAGATATTCGATAATATTTGCCTAAGTTGCAGGTCCAATTGGTCGACTGGATTCGTAGTTCAAATCCTTGGCCTGTCTCTTGGGCTGACATCACCATCTTGGAAAACAACAATATCACGGCGTGTCATCACCATACTGGAGGAAACAATATTACGGCGTGACATCACCATCCTGGAGGAAAGAATATCACGGCGTGTCATCACCATCCTGGGGAAAAGAATTTCACGGCGTGTCATCACCATCCTGGGGGAAAGAATATCACGGTGTGACATCACCATACTAGAGGAAACAATATCAGGGCGTGACATCACCATCCTGGGGGAAACAATATCATTATAAAAGGGCCTGGCACAAATCATTTGGAACAATATCATTATAAAAAAGGCATGGCTGCAAATCATTTGGAACAATATCATTATAAATGGGCGTGGCACAAATCATTTGGAACAATATCATTATAAATGGGGCGTGGCTTCAACGCATTTGGAACGAATTCTTTATAAATGGGGAGTGTCTGCAACTCATTTGGAACAATATCATAAATGGGCGCGGCAGAAATCATTTGGAACAATATCATTATAAATGGGCATGGCACAAATCATTTGGAACAATATCATTATAAATTGGCGTGACACAAATCATTTGGAACAATTTCATTATAAATGGGCGTGGCACAAATAATTAAGAACGATATCATCATTAATGTGGCGTGGCGTCAAGTCATTTGGAACATTATCATTTAAATTCGGCGTAGCACAAATCATTTGGAACAATATCCTTTTAAATGGGCAGTTCACTCAGGCATTGTATTTCTACGCGGTTTCTTAAACTATGATCTTAAATTTCGATTATTTTAAGAATGACATTATATTATTAAGAGATAATTACCATCATATCTTCCCGTAGGGTCAATATCATGTATAAGGAGGACAATATACACTTACAGGATGAGTGTTTTTCACAGGGATACGGCGGAATTAAAACGTACAATAAGAACAAGTATTTGGCCCCATTCTCTGAGATTCTCACATTACAATATCACTGTCTCTTTTTTTCAACTTAATCTGTTGTGGGGAATCTGTGTCCGAGTTGGCTTAACTGCGAGAATTGTAGACACACATAGTCTGTTTATACAGCAATCCTTGTCAGAATATGCATCAATGAAGTATAGATATCAACATAACACTATTCCATGAGATAAAGGGAACGCAGGTCTTGTTCATACTTGGATCGGTTTGTGTTTGCACAAAGTTTTCTCTTACCATCTAAACATGTACATAGACAAAGCTTTCTAGTCATCGTGCTAAACATGACGATCTAAACATGTTCAAAGACAAAACTTTCTCTTCGTCGTGCTTAACATGACGATCTAAACACGTACAAAGACAAAGCTTTCTAGTCATCGTGCTAAACATGACGATCTAAACATGTACAAAGACAAAACTTTCTCTTCATCGTGCTAAACATGACGATCTAAACATGTACAGAGACAAAGCTTTCTCTTCGTCGTGCTTAACATGACGATCTAAACACGTACAAAGACAAAGCTTTCCCTTAATCGTGCTAAACATAACGATCTAAACATGTACAGAGATAAAGCTTTCCCTTCATCGTGCTAAACATGACGATCTAAACATGTACAAAGACAAAGCTTTCCTTTCATCGTGCTGAACATAATGATCTAAACATGTACAAAAACAAAGCTTTCCCTTCATCGTGCTAAACATGACGATCTAAACATGTACAAAGATAAAGCTTTCCCTTCATCGTGCTGAACATAACGATCTAAACATGTACAAAGATAAAGCTTTACCTTCATCATGCTAAACATGACGATCTAAACATGTACAAAGACAAAGCTTTCCTTTCATCGTGCTGAACATAATGATCTAAACATGTACAAAAACAAAGCTTTCCCTTCATCGTGCTAAACATGACGATCTAAACATGTACAAAGACAAAGCTTTCCCTTCATCGTCCTGAAGACGATCTAAACATTTACAAAGATAAAGCTTTCCCTTCATCGTGCTGAACATAACGATCTAAACTTGTTAAAAAACAAAGCTTTCCCTTCATCGTGCTGAACATAACGATCTGAACATGTACAAAGACAAAGCTTTCCCTTCATCGTGCTAAACATGACGATCTAAACATGTACAAAGACACAGCTTTCTCTTCATCGTGCTGAAGACTATCTAAACGTGTACAAAGACAAAGCTTTCTCTTTATTGTGACTAAACATAACGATCTACACATGTACAGAGACAAAGCTTTCCCTTCATCTTGCTAAACATGACGATCTAAACACGTACAAAGACAAAGCTTTCCCTTCATCGTGCTAAACATGACGATCTAAACATGTACAGAGACAAAGCTTTACCTTCATCGTGCTGAAGACGATCTAAACATGTACAAAGACAAAGCTTTCCCTTCATCGTGCTAAACATAACGATCTTAACATGTACAGAGACAAAGCTTTCCCTTCATCGTGCTGAACATAACGATCTAAACATGTACAAAGACAAAGCTTTCCCTTCATCGTGCTAAACATGACGATCTAAACATGTACAAAGACAAAGCTTTCCCTTAATCGTGCTGAACATAACGATCTCAACATGTACAAAGACAAAGCTCTCTCTTCATCGTGCTAAACATATCTAAACATGTACAAAGACAAAGCTTTCCCTTCATCGTGCTAAACATGACGATCTAAACATGTTGTATATAACGGAAAGGTGAGACTGGTGACAAAGGGCGCCAATATGGAATTCTTCGAGAAGGGCACGAGTCTCCATTCGGATAGTCCCGGAATGGCAGGAGTTGGTTACGAATGGTTTCTATCAGTACATCGTCTCCAACAAGTGGTAAAACGTATACAAGAGCGCAAATAGGTCTCGATGTGACACGAGATTTCCATTAAGACAAAAAATACTAACAGGCATTAGAACAAGCGTGGTTGAATCTCTGTGGCACCTATGACTTCCCTAAAGTTGACGAGAAAAAATATTATATATTGATGAAATTGTTATGGTGTATCCACAACACAAGACCACAGTCTGGATGCACTCTCCAGGAAGGGAGACAACCCTGTATCTTGAAGGGAAACTATCTCAGTCGACTCCATAGACGCGTCATAATAACCCCGGTCATCCAAGTTGTTGAGCAAATAAATGTCTATAAATCTGTAACCATGAGACGTGGCCAGTATCTGCCCAGTCATGGAGATCCCTCACGGTCGGAGATCCGTGGAACTATACGCTCTCCCTAAAGAAGTGGTTCTGTTCGGTAGTGGCTTCGCATGATAGGCAACGAGTAGATCTCCCACAGACTTGTAGTAGTCGCGGTTGTTAATCGTAACCTGTTTCTCCTGAAATAATGAAAACGTTTTTCTATTAGATTGGTGAGTGAGTGACCTTGGTCTAACGCCCCTTTGAACAGTATTTTAGTCATGAAAGTGAAGCAGGTTATTATTATAATAATAATCATCATCATCATCGTCGTCGTCGTAATAGTAACAACAATAATAATAATAATAATAATATACTCGGTGTTCGTTCAAAGCGCTACAGTTGAACACTAAATCAACTTATATAGATGGCGGTAAAGTGGTACGTGGCACAGTGCCCCTGAACAGTTCCTTCATCTAGGTATCTGCCTCAGCCAAGTGATGGAAAAGATGTGGTTTGAGTTTTGATTCAAAAGTTTTAGAAAGCCTGACATGGATTCAACAAATCATAGAAATATGAAAATACTAATGTAAAATGAAACATAGATATATATGTTATCAGCGTAAAATCAGTCAATTTTAAAATCGACTGAATAATCTGTCCATTTATTGTCAGATTCACTGAAAATGATGACAACCGTTTCGATGTCCACTTTCATTATACTCCTCACCTTTTGCAAAATTTTGTATTCCTTGATGACGGCATCTTCGGTCATTACAGAAAGCACCTAAACAAAGAAAGCAAAACAGATATTTAACCTCACCGTACTTTCAGAAGTGTCCTCTTCCAGAAAATACACTTGAGTTCTGTTTAGGATTACCCAGTACCTTGACCCTCACACAAGGCCGTTTCCGGTTAGATATTTATTAATGAAAATGTATTATATTATCATAAAGTTTTACAAGTATGCAAAATCGGAAGATTGGAGCACCTTCTGGTCATTCGTACGGGACTTCCGCACAAGATACGTCCCTTGGTCATTCTGCTCTCGTAGAATACTGAAAAGAAAGACATATTTTATATTCAATACACTTCAATCATCTCATTTAAATAACATCTGTTACTCCGACATCATGCCTCACCCAGATCGGAGGACACCTCCGCGGGAAGAGGCGGCACGTGAACTTTGACCGCCCAATCTAGATTAAGCTGCATGGGGACTTGTGTCGAAAGATGCAGCTTTCTAAAACGATTCGGATTCCGATTTGTACATATGAAAATCCCATAGAGAACACAAACATTCGATCAACGGCACTCCCTTTTGGATGTTCATGGCTATTATGAAGGTGTCCTCATATCTTAATGCAGAGATGTATCGTTTCGGAATAAAATATCTGACTTTTATGAGACTGAATCTATTAAAGATGAACATATATCTATAACAGTCTGGTTTCATATCTAATCTTTCCCGTGGGGTCCCGGGGTAGAATGTGTCCCAGCACCCCATTACTGGTCGTAAGAGGCGATTGAATTGGGCACCACGTGATGACCCACGTTAGAATTGGTCTTCAGCAGTATTGGTATCGCTTTTTGCGAAGAGGTGACTAACGGAATCGGGGTGGTCAGGCTCGCTAACTTGATCGATGTATGTCATCGGAACCCAACTGCGTAGATAGATGCTAATGATGTCAATCACTGGATCGTCTTGTCCAGGTTCCATTACTTACAGACCGCCGTCACATTGATGGCCTATTGCTGAGTGCGGCGTTAAACAAACAAATCACATCTTACCTAATCTACGCAGGTAAAACGAGGCATAACAGATTAATGTTCCTGTTAAGGTTCTCGAAAAAATATTATTTTATTAAAAATATGTGTCGTCTGAATATAAATTCAAAGTATTGAATATCAGCTTATTAATTTACTAAACTAGTAGTTGTACATAAGCTTAATATACAACCAAACTGAACATACACACTTAATGTTGTATATGGGCGAATGGTTAATTGTATAGATTATCAATGTCTGTGAATTTTCGAAAAACTCAAAATGTAACTGCATAAAGCACATAATGATATAAACATATACCACGTGACACGCCACCGGTAGCCATGTTTCAGCGCTCTAACGACGACCAGAGACTGACAACAGAGGCTACTGGGGACCTGGGGTCCGATAACACAAAATAACACCTTTTCAGCAATATTCCAGCTATATGTCGGCGGTCTGCATATAATAAAGCCTGGATCAGACAACCAAGTCATTCTTAAAACGAGCACCGATCCACGCAATTGGGATACGACGATATGCATCAACCAAGTCAGCGAGCCTGACCATTCGATCCCGTAAGTCGCCTCTTACGACAAGCATAGTCGCCTTTTCTAGCACGGATCATAACGGGGAAAGTGACAGAGACTGGGCTACTGGGGGAAGATGGTACACGGTCAACCAGGTGAAAGAGACTGACTACAGAGGCTACTGGGGGAAGATGATACACAGTCAACCAGGTGACAGAGACTGACTACAGAGGCTACTGGGAGAAGATAATACACAGCCAACCAGGTGACAGAGACTGACTATAGTGGCTACTGGGGGAAGATGGTACACGGTTAACCAGGTGACAGAGACTGACTACAGTAGCTACTGGGGTAATATGATTCACAGCCAAACAGGTGACAGAGACTGACTACAGAGGCTACTGGGGGAAGATGGTACACGGTCAACCAGGTGAAAGAGACTGACTACAGAGGCTACTGGGAGAAGATAACACGCAGCCAACCAGGTGACAGAGACTGACTACAGTAGCTACTGGGGGAAGATGGTACACGGTTAACCAGGTGACAGAGACTGACTACAGAGGCTACTGGGGGAAGATGGTACACGGTCAACCAGGTGACAGAGACTGACTACAGAGGCTACTGGGGGAAGATGATACACAGCCAACCAGGTGACAGAGACTGACTACAGAGGCTACTGGGGGAAGATGATACACGGTCAACCAGGAGACAGAGACTGACTACAGAGGCTACTGGGGTAAGATGATACACAGCCAAATAGGTTACAGAGACTGACTACGGTAGCTACTTGGGGAAGATGATACACAGTTAACCAGGTAACAGAGACTGACTACAGTGTCTACTGGGAGAAGATGATACACAGTTAACCAGGTGACAGAGACTGACTACAGAGGCTACTGGGGGAAGATGATACACAGCCAACCAGGTGACAGAGACTGACTACAGAAGCTACTGGGGGAAGATGACACACAGCCAACCAGGTGACAGAGACTGACTACAGTGGCTACTGGGGGAAGATGGTACACAGTTAACCAGGTGACAGAGACTGACTACAGTAGCTACTGGGGGAAGATGATACACAGCCAGCCAGGTGACAGAGACTGACTACAGAGGCTACTGGGGGAAGACGACACACGGTCAACCAGGTGATAGAGATTGACTACAGAGGCTACTGGGGTAAGATGATACACAGCCAAATAGGTGACAGAGAGTGACTACAGTAGCTACTTGGGGAAGATGATACACAGTTAACCAGGTAACAGAGACTGACTACAGTGTCTACTGGGAGAAGATGATACACAGTTAACCAGGTGACAGAGACTGACTACAGAGGCTACTGGGGGAAGATGATACACAGCCAACCAGGTGACAGAGACTGACTACAGAAGCTACTGGGGGAAGATGATACACAGCCAACCAGGTGACAGAGACTGACTAAAGTGTCTACTGTGGGAAGAGGGTACACGGTTAACCAGGTGACAGAGACTGACTACAGTAGCTACTGGGGTAATATGATTCACAGCCAACCAGGTGACAGAGACTGACTACAGAGGCTACTGGGGGAAGATGGTACACGGTCAACCAGGTGACAGAGACTGACTACAGAGGCTACTGGGAGAAGATGATACACAGTTAACCAGGTGACAGAGACTGACTACAGTAGCTACTGGGGGAAGATGATACACAGCCAGCCAGGTGACAGAGACTGACTACAGAGGCTACTGGGGTAAGATGATACACAGCCAAATAGGTTACAGAGACTGACTACAGTAGCTACTGGGGGAAGATGATACACAGCCAACCAGGTGACAGAGACTGACTACAGAAGCTACTGGGGGAAGATGATACACAGCCAACCAGGTGACAGAGACTGACTATAGTGGCTACTGGGGGAAGATGGTACACGGTTAACCAGGTGACAGAGACTGACTACAGTAGCTACTGGGGTAATATGATTCACAGCCAACCAGGTGACAGAGACTGACTACAGAGGCTACTGGGGGAAGATGGTACACGGTCAACCAGGTGACAGAGACTGACTACAGAGGCTACTGGGAGAAGATGATACACAGCCAACCAGGTGACAGAGACTGACTACAGTAGCTACTGGGGGAAGATGGTACACGGTCAACCAGATGACAGAGACTGACTACAGAGGCTACTGGGGGAAGATGATACACAGCCAACCAGGTGACAGAGACTGACTACAGAGGCTACTGGGGTAAGATGATACACAGCCAAATAGGTTACAGAGACTGACTACAGTAGCTACTTGGGGAAGATGATACACAGTTAACCAGGTAACAGAGACTGACTACAGTGTCTACTGGGAGAAGATGATACACAGTTAACCAGGTGACAGAGACTGACTACAGAGGCTACTGGGGGAAGATGATACACAGCAAACCAGGTGACAGAGACTGACTACAGAAGCTACTGGGGGAAGATGACACACAGCCAACCAGGTGACAGAGACTGACTACAGAGGCTACTGGGGTAAGATGATACACAGCCAAATAGGTTACAGAGACTGACTACAGTAGCTACTTGGGGAAGATGATACACAGTTAACCAGGTGACAGAGACTGACTACAGTAGCTACTGGGGGAAGATGATACACAGCCAGCCAGGTGACAGAGACTGACTACAGAGGCTACTGGGGGAAGACGACACACGGTCAACCAGGTGATAGAGATTGACTACAGTGGCTACTTTGGGAAGATGATACACAGTCAACCAGGTGACAGAGATTGACTACAGTGGCTACTGAGGGAAGATGATACACAGTCAACCAGGTGACAGAGACTGACTACAGAGGCTACTGGGGGAAGACGATACACAGTCAACCAGGTGACAGAGACTGACTACAGAGGCTACTGGGGTAAGATGATACACAGCCAAATAGGTGACAGAGAGTGACTACAGTAGCTACTTGGGGAAGATGATACACAGTTAACCAGGTAACAGAGACTGACTACAGTGTCTACTGGGAGAAGATGATACACAGTTAACCAGGTGACAGAGACTGACTACAGAGGCTACTGGGGGAAGATGATACACAGCCAACCAGGTGACAGAGACTGACTACAGAAGCTACTGGGGTAAGATGATACACAGCCAACCAGGTGACAGAGACTGACTATAGTGGCTACTGGGGGAAGATGGTACACGGTTAACCAGGTGACAGAGACTGACTACAGTAGCTACTGGGGGAAGATGATTCACAGCCAGCCAGGTGAAGGAGACTGACTACAGAGGCTACTGGGGGAAGACGATACACGGTCAACCAGGTGATAGAGATTGACTACAGTGACTACTTTGGGAAGATGATACACAGTCAACCAGGTGACAGAGATTGACTTCAGTGGCTACTGAGGGAAGGTGATTCACAGTCAACCAGGTGACAGAGACTGACTACAGAGGCTACTGGGGGAAGACGATACACAGTCAACCAGGTGATAGAGATTGACTACTACTGACTACAATGAACCTGCCGCGGCATCTCAACATGGCTGTAATAGAAACCCGAATTTTATGACCATTAAAATACTTCGAAGTCTCGTTGATACGAACACTTGACAAATTATTCAAAATTTCAACACTATAAAGAAGAGGTCATTTGTTCTAAACATTGCCGTCCTCTTCCCCAGGTTATAACGTATAACAAGGGTCTGCGATTATACTCACGACAGTGCTTTGTCTCTGTCACTTTCAGGGAAGAAGTACTCTTTCTCCGATGGCACAGTGGGCGATGTTGGTTTAGGCTTCGTCTTGGGTTTAGGTGGTTGTAGTGCTTGTTTTGCCTCAGATATAGCTTTCGCCTTCGGCGCAGCTGATTTAGCTGGCAAGGAAGACGCTTGCGCCGGAAGCTAAATAAAAGATGATTAATCAATTTATTGGCGAAGTAGTGTGGATTAATGAAGGGTTTGAACGCGTGATAGGTTGCTTCAAATGCTTCGATACAATGATAATTCATTGCCTGATTGCTTTGTGGTTGCTGGGTGGAATAAATGAGTGAGCGACTGAGCGACTGAGCGTTGTGTTAAGTCAACAATAATCTTGCTATATCACTGAATCAAAATTACAAAACTATAAACGCTTGACTCAGCAAGTATCGTATCAACGACATGTTCTATGAATGGTTTACTTACCATGTTGCATAGCAACACGCAAACTATGGGCGATTGTTATGTTCCAGCAACATGAACTGTGAAAAGTTGATAAGCTAAGTTGCACAGCAAAGACATGGATCATGAACTTTGCATGATTGGATACTAACCTGCATTAGCGATTCCATCATAGTAAAATATTGTGTCATTAAAAACAGGAATACAGTAAACTACGGTTATAACGAACATGCTAATAACGAACTACGGTTATTACGAGCTAAAATGCCCCTTTCAGTTCGTTATAACCGTAGCTTACTGTACGTGATAATGTTGTTTGAGGCAAGTTGGCAATGATCATTCGATAACAAAGACCATCATACAAAAGCATTCATAACAAATATCAACTCCTGATGTTGGCAGAACGATCGAGACTGCGTGCACCACAGTCGCGGCCGTGGGACGTTTGTTTCAGCAGCGAGAACACAACAAACATCCTTTGATCGCGACCGAACCGCGAGCGTGTGTTTAAATGCTTGTGCTTATGAGTGAAGATGATTGTGCGCGCGTCTTTCTTTATCAAATATTTCGTTGTAGTTTAGTTCCTACCTTTATCACGCGATAATTACAGACATAATCATTGCCGACAGCACAATACCCATTCTGAAACGTACACTGTTAGTCTTTGTACTTGTATGCTTTGGCGAGTTGATGTACGTGTGCTTCTCCGACTTTGGTTTATGTGGCGTTGGTAATGGTTTCTTCTCTGGGGCTTTCCGGTCCTCCTTTGTGACCTCCTTATATGCTGGGTCATCGGGGGTTGCTAGGAAACACAAATGATTATTATATCCTCAAATTCTGTAACAAAGCCATTGTCAACAATATTAAACTTTTGATATGACGGCTTGAAAACAAACTATCCAGAGGTTGTTAGCACAAGTAACCACTGAAGTAGAGGTGCAACGTCACAGGCTGTGACCGCCTGATCCCCATTTCCGTCGTCCATGGCTGCCCCGGTACTAACACAGTGAACAGTTTTTGTTACAGACAACTGCTGAACATTCTCGAGTATCAGAACACGGGCTTGCGCTAGACATCTTTGCAAGTTGGGACAGTTTGCTGAGACGCCGTAATGTGCAGAGTTGCGTTCCTTAGACTTGCCAGAAACATATTATCGTGTGTTCCAAACCTGGTTGATCCTGATTATGGTTTTAGGTTTGTCAGCACCATACCCGTGCTCGTGGGTTTCACCACAGTGCTAAACGTCTAAGACCTGCATCACTTCGGGCTTTCCTCCCACATCGAGCTGACACTGCGTGATATAACTGAATATTGTTCAAAGCGGCGTTAATCCAAACCTACTCACTCACTCACCCCGTGCAAGGTGAAGGTTACTCACGAGGTAGAGGTATCCGTGGTCGCCTGGCCTTCTCCAGGTCTAAGTCGTTTATTTGGTCGTAGTCGGAGTCGTCTTCCTCTTCGTCGGAATCCTCTGAATCAATCAACCAGCAGCAGTAATAGCAACTGGAGTTACACACACATCTTTTCCAAAATACAAATTTCTAAAATAAATACAAAGAAAATTGGAAGCAATTGCAGTATGGCAGTATGACTATAGTTTTACCGCCTTACCCTTGTGAGCATAATGGTACCGACGTGCTTGGTATCTTGACATTGATTGACCTTTTATCTCTAGCAGGGTATCAGGTTATTACGATTAGTAAAGTTTCGATAATTAAAACTTTTAGGTATTGTCGCATTGTCGCGTTGTCACCCGCACAAAAACAAGCACTATGTGTCAACATTTACCAAAGAGCGACAATGCGACACATGGTCAAAATGTCGGGTTGTCACACTTTGGTAAATTTTGACAGTTTTCGCTTTTTTGGAAGGTCGACAACGCGACAATGCGACATCGCGACAATATCTCCTCTAGCATTCCCTAGAAAAGACAGACTTCAGATTCAAAAAAGCTTGGAGTTTTTCATTATCGAAACAGATGGCGATGGCGTCACTTCCGTAACGGTTACGTATGACTCCAGGGTATTTATCCTAATAGAATGGAGATAGTATACCCTGGATGTCAGCCTTAATGGACAACGTAGTGTAATTACATACCATCACTGTCCTCACTCTGTGGGGGTTCAAATATAGGCTTATGGAGCATGACGTAGACGTCTTTGGAGGAGCTGGTGGACGCCACGGACCCTGCACTGAAACTACACGACGCCATTTGTTAGCAATGAGGTTACCTGCTTTATCACCGTACCTGAATACAGCTAAATATATAGAGGATCTTTCATGTGTCGAGTGAAATATATTGTTTCCCTCATCGAGTGACGGGGAAAAGGACATATTTTCACGAGTGGCGTAGCGACGAGTGAAAATATCTCCTTTTCCTCCGTCACGAGATGAGAGAAATGTTTATCAAACTGAAGCCGGAGACAGACGGGCAGTCCGTAACTGTCGTTCGGAAAACCCCGTGTCAACCTTTTTCGAGGTTGAATGATTAGAAGACACATTCCGACTATCACTTTCTGGTAAGTGTCCCTCTGATTGATCGGGTGAATTGTCGTTCCGAAGTGACCCGTAATGGGATGACCTCAGATCTTTCTTTAGCAGTAGCAAGAAACAAGATAGGATTTTAGTGAGATTGTTCATGATGCCAATCACTGAATTTGTCTGGTCCAGATTCGTTTATTTACAGACCGCCGGCATATGGTTGGAATATTGCCGAATTCGGCGTAAAGCAACAAACAAACGAACTACTACTTCTAATACTACTAATACTAATACTAATACTTATACTACTACTAATACTACTCCTTCTTTCTCACCGGTCATCCTTCACTTTGTTGGCGAGCATCATCTCCTCGCGAAAAGCCTTCATCCAAGTCTTCAACACAATGAAATCAAAGTCAAATAACTATCAATGCGGATATCAGCATTACTGTGTGGTTACTCGGGGGTTACTGTGTGGTTACTCGGGGATTACTGTGTGGTTACTCGGGGGTTACTGTGTGGTTACTTGGGGGTTACTGTGTGGTTACTTGGGGGTTACTGTGTGGTTACTTGGGGGTTACTGTGTGGTTACTCGGGGGTTACTGTGTGGTTACTCGGGGGTTACTGTGTGGTTATCCGGGTTACTGTGTGGTTACTAGGGGGTTACTGTGTGGTTCCTCGGGGTAACTGTGTCGTTACTAGGGGGCTACTATGTGGTTACTCGGGGGTTACTGTGTGGTTACTCGGGGGTTACTGTGTGGTTACTCGGGGGTTTCTGTGTGGTTACCCGGGTTACTGTGTGGTTACTCGGGGGTTACTGTGACGTAAAATAGGGGGTTACTATATGGTGGTTACTCGGGGGTTACTGTGTGGTTACTCGAGTGTTACTGTGTCGTTACTAGGGGGTTACTATGTGGTTACTCGGGGGTTACTGTGTGGTTACTAGGGGTTACTGTGTGGTTACTCGGGGGTTACTGTGTGGTTACTCGGGGGTTACTGTGTGGTTACTCGGGGGTTACTGTGTGGTTATTCGGGGGTTACTGTGTGGTTACTCGGGGGTTACTGTGTGGTTACTCGGGGGTTACTGTGTGGTTACTTGGGGTTTACTGTGTGGTTACTTGGGGGTTACTGTGTGGTTACTCGGGGGTTACTGTGTGGTTACCCGGGTAACTGTGTGGTTACTCGGGGGTTACTGTGTGGTTACCCGGGTTACTGTGTGGTTGCTCGGGGTTACTGTGTCGTTACTTGGGGGTTACTGTGTGGTTACTCGGGGGTTACTGTGTGGTTACTCGGGGGTTTCTGTGTGGTTACCCGGGTTACTGTGTGGTTACTCGGGGGTTACTGTGTGGTTACTAGGGGGTTACTATATGGTGGTTACTCGGGGGTTACTGTGTGGTTACTTGAGTGTTACTGTGTCGTTACTAGGGGGTTACTATGTGGTTACTCGGGGGTTACTGTGTGGTTACTAGGGGGTTACTGTGTGGTTACTCGGGGGTTACTGTGTGGTTACTCGGGGATTACTGTGTGGTTACTCGGGGGTTACTGTGTGGTTATTCGGGGGTTACTGTGTGGTTACTCGGGGGTTACTGTGTGGTTACTCGGGGTTCATTCCAACTAAAGGAATGACCAAACAAATAAAGGTCCATTGACTGAGAACTTAGTACGTGTACTCCTCAATATTGACAAACCAATGGCTGATAATATAAATGACTTCTATCTGACCTGGAATCCCATTCAGGTAAAGTTTGGTCGAAAAGTATTAGGGCTTGACATTGCAAAGGATATTGGATTTTTGTTAATGGGTTTATAATTCTCCCATCAAGATACCGTTAACCAGGTGCTACCACACTTGAAGGGCGTGGGAGGTGTCGGGTTATACACATATTAATTGTAATGGAATATATATTACCAAATCGTCATGGACAATATCATTACCATTCGATCCACGTCGCTGACGCAGGAGAAGTAATGAACCTTCGCTGTTTCGTCAGGGGAGGAAATTCTGAATGCCCAGGGAGTTGATGGTTCCTCATCCATTGCCAGTAACCTACAGTAGAGTAAGGTGGTAGGTGAGTGAATGCTGTTTACATCAGAGAAAGGAGGTAGGTGAGAGTGAATACGGTTTACAGTAGAGTAAGGAGGTAGGTGAGTGAGTGAGTAAATACGGTTTACAGTAGAGTAAGGAGGTAGGTGAGTGAGTGAGTAAATACGGTTCACAGTAGAGCAAGGAGGTAGGTGAGTGAGTGAGTGAGTAAATACGGTTTACAGTAGAGTAAGGAGGTAGGTGAGTGAGTGAGTAAAAACGGTTCACAGTAGAGCAAGGAGGTAGGTGAGTGGGTGAATCACCCATTCTCACGAAGAATGTACAATTTCAAATTTAACCTGTCGCTTAGCCACTAGCCGTATATTTATCATTAAATAAACTTGACAGAGAGGGTAAATGTTGGGAATGGTATTGGGAAAGATATTACACTGACATTTTGGTTGCTTTCCAAACCATATTTTTGCAGCATCGGTCATAATAGCAACATTTTAGTATAATGTCATTGTCGATTTTAATATCAATCATGAAACGATTGTGATTTGTTAAATGTCCTTATGTTTAAGCAAGTTATTCTTGGTTTTTCAGTACCTCTGATATATCATGCACTAGAACACCAAATTTCACAGAGCTATCTTATTAAATGACAAAGTTATGCTTGTTAAAAACGTGTCGCCTGTTTTCAGGTAAGCTACGTTACTTTATTTCTGTTTGAAACAGCAACTGTCATTTCAAGATATAAAAACAAAATAATTGTTCATAAGACATCACGAATACACACGTTGGGGAGCCAAAGTGGTGACAGGCATCCTGTAATATGTATAAACACTTTATATCACGAAAATAGCACCATTTTTGAGAGTTGAGTTAAGCTTGTAAGCTACGTTACTGCCGATACATAAAAACTGGTCTCGCGATGATGGTACAGGAATTATGCTCATGTTGCCGAAGTGCTGTCTGCTTGACAAAGTGAGAAACAAGATTGTAAATATATTCCACATGTTTTGAGGGTGTTTTATAGATCGTGATGTAAGCTTCGTGATGTAAGCTACGTGATGTAAGCTACGTGACATCTTAAAATAAAAAAAGGAGTTAATTACAGGAACATTACGTCTACAGTTTATGCCAACACTGAAAAGGCATCAGTGCTAATTCCCACCAATCAGCAGTTGTTCCCCTTGTTTACCACATGTTTCCAGTCAAAACAGGTGATTTCAAGACAGGACAAAACAGTGTACGTTTTTACAGAATTTCTGAATGAAAAAGGTGAGAATATATATATATGTTTTCTTCTGAAAGATTAATAGGTTTACTATAGAGTAAGGAGGTAGGTGAGTGAGTGGGTAAATACGGTTTACAGTAGAGTAAGGAGGTAGGTGAGTGACTGAGTAAATACGGTTTACAGTAGAGTAAGGAGGTAGGTGAGTGAGTGAATGCGGTTTACAGTAGAGTAAGGAGGTAGGTGAGTGAGTGAATGCGGTTTACAGTAGAGTAAGGAGGTAGGTGAGTGAGTGAATACGGTTTACAGTAGAGTAAGGAGGTAGGTGAGTGAGTGAATGCGGTTTCCAGTAGAGTAAGGAGGTAGGTGAGTGAGTGAATGCGGTTTACAGTAGAGTAAGGAGGTAGGTGAGTGAGTGAATGCGGTTTCCAGTAGAGTAAGGAGGTAGGTGAGTGAGTGAATGCGGTTTACAGTAGAGTAAGGAGGTAGGTGAGTGAGTGAATGCGGTTTACAGTAGAGTAAGGAGGTAGGTGAGTGAGTGAATGCGGTTTCCAGTAGAGTAAGGAGGTAGGGGAGTGAGTGAGTGAATACGGTTTACAGTAGAGTAAGGAGGTAGGTGAGTGAATACGGTTTACAGTAGAGTAAGGAGGTAGGGGAGTGAGTGATTATGGTTTACAGTAGAGTAAGGAGGTAGGTGAGTGAATACGGTTTACAGTAGAGTAAAGAGGTAGGTGAGTGAGTGAATACGGTTTACAGAAGAGTAAGGAGGTAGGGGAGTGAGTGAGTGAATACGGTTTACAGTAGAGTAAGGAGGTAGGGGAGTGAGTGAGTGAATACGGTTTACAGTAGAGTAAGGAGGTAGGTGAGTGAGTGATTACGGTTTACAGTAGAGTAAGGAGGTAGGTGAGTGATTACGGTTTACAGTAGAGTAAGGAGGTAGGGGAGTGAGTGATTATGGTTTACAGTAGAGTAAGGAGGTAGGTGAGTGAATACGGTTTACAGTAGAGTAAAGAGGTAGGTGAGTGATTACGGTTTACAGTAGAGTAAGGAGGTTGGTGAGTGAGTGAATGCGTTTCACAGCAGCTTGAGAAGCTAGGGGAATATGGTTTTAAGACTTTTTGCAAAGTTTAAATTTACCCAACACACGATTTTTCTCACACTCCACATAAAAAAACAACAATAAACATGGACGCGTATTTGAGGAAGGTATCATGCGGCTTCCGGTATTATCACGACAGGGCACGCTAAGATTATCCACGATTATCCAGTGTATTATATCTTCATTTTGTTATCATCAACACCCTAGATTCATTCGACTATTTGCTGCAATAATTTGAGTCCGATTCGACTGACACGACGCTAAAGTAGCCTTCCAATAGGAAAATATGGGAGAGGCATTCTTCGGGAAAGTATTGATAAAACAACTAAGCTATGGTAGCGAATAGGTCCAGGGTATTTACCAGAACAGAATGGAGATGGAATGCCCTGCATAGTCGAGGATACCCACGAATTGGGTCTTCATCGTGTTGAACGAAAACCGTTATCATTGGGCTTCCACGTCAGCTCCGTTTTAAAGACAAAATGCAAATGCTTAATGTAACGAAGTACAAATGAAACAGAATCTTAAGATCAACCTTAATACCTCCAATGGGATGGTCTCCAATGACGAGTGGACAGAGTGAAGGGGTGGCGAGTTACATGTTAACGCCGCCTCGATAGTATATGGAGATAACGGGGTTCGAGTAAACGAGGTGTTACTGTTTACCTGTTGTATCCCTTCAGTGTGAACGCCTGAAGAGGTCGCCCGGCTGTTTCACTGGAGTAGCAGTATATACACCCCTGGGATATCACCACAAATCTCTGCCGCCCTGAAATAAACACAAAATTAAATTAATTCATACCAATAGATTTATGATACAATGATGCTGACAGACTGATAGATAGATAAGACACATGAATACTTGTATAATTATATGAAACTTTAAATCGTGCTCATAGTAATTACATGCAATGAATAAAGATTCATGAGACACAAAAACTTCCCGCCAATATGAATAGAAAAACTTTCCTCGCTGACCAATGCTGACCATGCTGACCAATGCTGACCAATGCTGACCCTGCACTTACATCGTAGAACCCTGCCAAGCAATGGCCTGGTCAGACGGAAGCTTTCCAACATGCGTTCCCGTTTGCCTCTCTTCCGTAGAAAGCCCGTGTGACGCGGGGGGTGGTGTTGAAGAAGAGGCTGGGCACCTGGAATTGATCAAAGTGAGTGAGTGAGTAGGGTTTTACGCCGTTTTGGCAATGTTCCGGCGGGGTATACACGAAATGTTGTCCTTAGGGTGCACCTAGTTGGGGAATCGAATCGAATCTTCCACCACAAGGCTACCCCAGCCATCCACAGGACATCCAAACAGCACCATGTCAAAAGGTTATTTACAATTATTTCCACATTGCAGGCGGGCGTGGGGTAGCTTAGTGGTTGAAAAGTTCGCTCGTCACGCCATAGACCCGGGTTCGTTTCCCCAAATGGGTACAATATGTGAAGGCCATTTCTGGTGTCCCCCGCCGTGATATTGCTGGAATATTGCCAAAAGAGGCTTAAAAACATACTCACTTACTCCACATTACAGAGGAAACTTGTTCTAACCATATATCGTCAAGTAACACCGGTTTGATGCATCCATCCTTGGTTCGTTTAGCGTGTCATTCATTTATCCTCGAAAGTTTACAATCGCTTATGACATAAACAATTATTTATCAAATTTTCATACCATTCGCTTCACTATCAGTGAGTGAGTAAGTATGGTTTTACGCCACGTTTAGCATTATTCCAGCAATATCACAACGGGGGACGCCAGAAATTGGTTTCACACATTGTACCCATTTGGGGATTCTGCGTGACGAGCGAACATTTTAACCACTAGGCTACCCCACCTTCCCGCTTTACTATCAATCACCCCGCCTCACATTTAATGTCCCCAAGTACCACAGGTGAAACAAATCGCTATGACTTGCCGTCTTTCTATACCTGGTGAAATACGCCCGATACATGATCTACGTGGTCCTTCAAACATTCATGCTACATGGGAATCACATCCACATTTAATGTACACAACTGTCCAACACTTTCTTGCAACCCGCCTCGCAGTTTTGTTTGTTTGTTTGTTGGTTGTTTGACGCCGCACTCAGTACTAATTCAACTCTACGACGGTGGTCTTTTAATAATCATGTCTGGACCAGACAATCCAGAGATTGACATCACGAGCATCGATCTACGCAATTGGGATACAATGACATGCATCAACCAAGACAACGAGCCAGACCAGCCGATCCCGTCAGTCGCCTCTTACGACAAGCATAGTCGCCTTTTATGGCAAGCATGGGTTGCAGAAGACCAGTTCTCACCCGGATCTTCACGGGGTGTGACAAGCATGTGTTGCTGAAGACCTATTCTAACCCTGATCTTCACGGGGTGAGACAAGCATGTGTTGCTGAAGACCTATTCTAACCCGGATCTTCACGGGGTGAGACAAGCATGTGTTGCTGAAGACCTATTCTAACCCGGATCTTCACGGGGTGAGACAAGCATGTGTTGCTGAAGACCTATTCTAACCCGGATCTTCACTGCTCTCACACTTTTTTTTGTAAAAATGGATGCAAATATAATGATTAGTTTATTGTGGCCTTATGCCTTAGAGTGAGCTTTACATAAGTAGTGTCGGCAGAACACGGCAGTCAGCCATCTAGTCAGACCGTAAACCTTTAAGGGGATGCTCAAACGAGGACACTGCCCGAGCTACTTCACAGTTGTGGCAGCTTGAAATACAAAGTTCATTGTCATCTGTTTCAAAAATCAATATATAGGATATTTATCAATACAGTACTCAAATGACACAGAGACGATATCTCAAACGCGCACAAACACACATTAAACCGTCTAGACTATACAGTTGAAAAGGGCACCACGCATTGATTGTTTGTCGTTTAACGCCGCACTCACCAATATTCAGATACACAGTTTCACCAGTAACGCTTTCACGAAGGGCTGTTATATGCACACAGCTTAACATGAAAATGAAAGCATGTGGTAAGCAAACACTATGGTCAGTTTCAGTAGTTGCTGGGGTCCTATTCTAACCAGGAATCCCCACTGTCAAGTACAAACGGACCCTTGTGTACTACAATAACAATTGACGACTTCCTATTGAACAGTCATCCAGTTATGCGATCATGCGTAACACCAAGCGTCACGACCTACCTAGCCCTGTATAGGGCTCTGGGATGATGTCGCCCTCCATAGCGCTTGATGATGTCATCACGTCAATAACGCCGGGAAGTCATGGCTGTATTATCGTCACTACAACACAGAAAAACAGAATGAATAATTAATCACTACCGAGACACATGTTGAACATTGTTACGAAAAAACCCACAAAGGATGCTTGTACTTTCTTTACCAATAACATGCGCTGACTCTTGGTAAAATACGCCCGATACATGACATTCCCGGGCCAACAAACAGTCATGCAGAATGTGAATCACATCCATCCACAAAGAAATCCTAAACATTTTCTTGCCACCCTCTTCACATTTTCTAAAACAGTTGACCACTTCCTATGACCGTTTGCTCATGCTATCAACCATTAGTTATCAGTTGTCAGGCGTCTTTGTTCAGAATAAAATGGGTTCTACCAAAATAAAATTGTATCTGTTTCTATCCCCAAACTGGAATGGCAATATTTTCAATTTGACGTTGACCTTGACTGACGACGCAGTTGTGACCTTTTCTCACGACAGGTGTTACCGATAGGGAAGGAAAACTAGTGTCACCAGCTGAAAGTGTCCCGTGAGTATGAATACACCTATGTAAGGTTGAATGTGTAGACCGTACGCTCTCGACATATAACACGATCAAGAGTCAGTGAGTATGAATATTAAATGTAGAAATGCTAGAAGGAACAATACCCACAGCATAAAGGTCGTACAGCATGACGGCTGTATTTGTCGTAAATATTACATCAATATAGAAACCATGACAGAAGTGAAGTTGTGGACCAGGGCGTGTCAGGGCAGCTGATGGAAGCTGACGGTATAGCCAACACAATATGTCGCATGTATAGAAGGCGAGATCGAACTCATAACGGACAGGTAGCCTCACCATAGAGTATTTTCATGTTTCAAGGAAAATATCACTTTGGTAAATGATTGATTGATTGATATTCAATCCTTCATTATTGCATGCATTGTTTAGCCCTTAATGAGGAGCACAAGACAGGGTAACAACAAGTACCATCTTATTACATCGTTTTGTATCACGCAGATGGGGATTGAACTCCCGACCTTCCGCTATCAGGGTGGACGCTCTACCACTAGGCCACGGAGGCGGTTTTAAATTATGTATTCAGGGATATATTTATTGAGCAATATAATAATGCATTTATCATACTTCAACATCTCACGTGCATATACTCTATATCAGTGAGTTATATGCAACCCACCCTGACGGTCAGGGATCATGAAAGGCTCTGTTTTTGTGTGTTAAATTGTGAATTTAGGTTGACTTGGTTCGGAAGTTGAGAAATTTTAAAAAGCGATGAGAAACGGTTATTTCGTGATGTGGCCTAACACTCATTTGGTGACCATCAGATTATTCACCAAGTGACTAAGTAGGAGTAACTCCCCTTTGAACAGTTCTTCAGGTGATGCTGGAGGGAAGTTTACATTGATGCGGGTCGTGAACATTGGTGAGCTCCCTACCTCGGTATGGTGCTGGCAGACCAAGAATCGTTCCATGTATAAAGAGAAACCCCTTTAATCCGAACACCTTACCCGCTTTCCTGACTGTCCCTGTTTGGACCCGCTACATACTAGTATGTTTGTGTTTGTTGTTTAACGCCGCACTCAGCAATATTCCAGCTATATGACGGCGGTCTTTGAATAGTCGAGACTGAACCAGACAATCCAGTGATTGACATCATGAGCATCAATCCTCGCAATTTTGGATTTGATGACATGCATCAACCAAGTCAGCGAGCCTTACCACCCGATCCCGTTAGTCGCCTCTTGCGACAAGCATGAGTTGCTGAAGACCAATTCTAACCCGGATCTTCACGGGTCGCTCCATACTAAGGACATTACCTTATTCCCATGCTTCGTTAAACCGTACACCCGTTTATCCGGATTGCAGGGGATTTCACTGTGTATCTTGCAGTCGTGAATCATTCATCAATACACGGACAAAGTCCACGAGGAGCAATGACTGGTGTACACCGGCAGGTTATGTATGGACAACGCCCACCAAGGCCTACCTCAGCGACAACATTGCAGTGCCGATAATACCTGTCAACGATCTTTGTCAAAAGCTACTTGGTGTGCAGTTTCAACAGTAACGCTTGAAAGGCTGGTATAGGCACACAGATAACATGAACATGGAAGCTTATACAGTAAGCAAACACTATGGCCAGTTTCAATAGACGCTGTCGGAAAAGGCCAAATATATCACAAGCATGTGTGTTACTGCCATGTTGTTAAAGTGAAGGGCTTGTGATAGGGCGGAATGTGTTACTTTAATGTTGTTATAGTGAGGGTCTCATGGCGTATGATGTCATATATGTAAACTGATAAGTAGTGTTTGTTTAGTAGGGTGCGTTTAAACCTTTACTGTACACCGTGCATATCTGCATGTTTGAAATTTTACCAGTTTCGTTAAATACATTTAGTAAAAAATACTTTTTCCCTGCTTGCTGCCTTAATTAAAAGAGGAGCCCAAATCAAGTTTAGAATGATTGGGGGCAGTGGGGTAGCCTTGTGGATTGTGCTGGAATATTGCTAAAAGCGGCGTAAAACCATACTCACTCACTAGAATGACTGGGCATGTCGAGCCTGAAATTAGGAATTGTTCTGGGCTTAATTTGGATTTTATTACTTTTATTTTGTAGATATATACTTTTAAATAAGATAGCTTTACTTCCGTGACTGAATGTCAGTCTAGGACTTTACTTTTATTGTTGTTTGTCTTCTCCGATAGGGATACCTTAATGCATTCTTCTCACGTATTTCCCTGTCCATCCTGTACGCCAAGGTTCTCAGTGTTGGTGTAACGTACAGCCAGCATAATTCAACATACAATATATGTGTCCAATAAAAGTTACCAAAGGTTCCACTAGTCTCTAAAATGAACATATTTTACAGAAAAAACACAGTTGTTAAACTATCTTCATACAACATAATAAAAAGGAGCCCAGAGATTCTCTTCATTTTCAGAAACTGCAGTAATCTAAACTTTAGACTTGCATTGGCTGTATTGGATATATTTGTATCAGGATCTGTATACCAGACTACATTGCTGCTTGAATGCTGCTGACCTGCTGCACTGCGCTACGCTACGTGTGTGTTGGCCTGCATTCACAGTTACAATGGAACTGTTGATACTTGCGTCCCGATGTACGCAAAACTCATTGTATTGATTTTTGTAGAAACCAGTCTGATGTAAGAGGCTGGGCGCGTTCAGCCAGCAAACAGACCTGTTGGTCTAACTATATACTTCCTGCTAATGACACAGCGGCCATGTTCCATACCTGCTGGAGATTGTCGGTCTGGCTCCAGACGTTTAGATTGTTCCTAGATTGTTCCTTGTCTTATTGGAAATAACGTACTCAGAAAAAGGACAATCATTTATATGTGTGTTTGTTTATTTGTTTGTTTTTTTCTCAGCAATATTCCAGCTCTATATGACGGGGGTCTGTACATAATCGAATCTGGACCAGACAATCCAGTGATTGATATCATGAGCATCGATCTAAACAATTGGGATGCGATGACATACACCAATCAAGTCAGCGAGCCTGACCATCCGATCCCGTAAGTCGCCCCTTAAGATAAGCATGGGTTACTGAAGACTTGTTCTGATCCGGATCTGCACGGGTACATGTGTTTGTGCAATACAAAATGATTGAGGAAACAAAATGAAAGATGACTTCAATCAAACTACCTGGGACTGCCCCCTTCCCTTTAGATTTATGTGCCCTAATTTAATCACATACCCGCAAACGGATATGATCAGTTAGACTAGCATTAGTCCCAGGAACATACAGTGTACCCTTGTGGGGAATCGAACCCGGATCTTCGGCGTGACGAGCGAACACTTTAACCACTAGGCTACCCGACCGCCCCCGGATGAGTGTATACATTACATGCAAGGAAAGGTACAGTTTTATATACCCACAGTTTAAATGCATGTCGTTGAATAGATAGGAATAGGGAAGGGTTGTTTGAAAGAAAACTATACTTCTCACAAGAACAGATGAATTCACACGACATATATGTGATGCAGGGTAATAGTATATCGTCACATGATCTACTTGAAAAGTCCGTAAGACAGTATATTTTCACGTGATCTCCCTGAAAAGACTTAGAACAGTGTATCGCCACAATGTCCACAACCCACAATACAACCCACCATACAACCCACAATACAACCTACAGTACAACCCACAATACAACCTACAATACAACCTACAACACAACCTACAGTACAACCCACAATACAACCTACAATACAACCTACAATACAGCCCACAATACAACCCACAATACAACCCACAATACATCCTACAATACATCCTACAATACAACCTACATTACAACCCACAATACAACCCACAATACAACCCACAATACAACCCACAATACAACCCACAATACAACCCACAATACAACCCACAATACAACCCACAATACAACCTACAATACAACCCACAATACAACCCACAATACAACCCACAATACAACCTACAATACAACCCACAATACAACCCACAATACAACCCACAATACAACCTACAATACAACCCACAATACAACCCACAATACAACCCACAATACAACCTACAATACAACCCACAATACAACCCACAATACAACCCACAATACAACCTACAATACAACCCACAATACAACCCACAATACAACCCACAATACAACCTACAATACAACCCACAATACAACCCACAATACAACCTACAATACAACCCACAATACAACCCACAATACAACCCACAATACAACCCACAATACAACCTACAATACAACCCACAATACAACCCACAATACAACCCACAATACAACCTATCAGAGTCACCATGACGCCGGGTGTATGGAAAACGGTTGATTATAGAAGCATTCGAGGACTATCATTAATATTGAAGTTCACATTTCTTGTATCCTTGAAGGTGTGAAGCCCCACACAGCGGCAAGCAGCACTTGAAGTATAAAACAGTTAAAGCCCCACACAGCGGCAAGCAGCACTTGAAGTATAAAACAGTTAAAGCCCCACACAGCGGCAAGCAGCACTTGAAGTATAAAACAGTTAAAGCCCCACACAGCGGCAAGCAGCACTTGAAGTATAAAACAGTTAAAGCCCCACACAGCGGCAAGCAGCACTTGAAGTATAAAACAGTTAAAGCCCCACACAGCGGCAAGCAGCACTTGAAGTATAAAACAGTTAAAGCCCCACACAGCGGCAAGCAGCACTTGAAGTATAAAACAGTTAAAGCCCCACACAGCGGCAAGCAGCACTTGAAGTATAAAACAGTTAAAGCCCCACACAGCGGCAAGCAGCACTTGAAGTATAAAACAGTTAAAGCCCCACACAGCGGCAAGCAGCACTTGAAGTATAAAACAGTTAAAGCCCCACACAGCGGCAAGCAGCACTTGAAGTATAAAACAGTTAAAGCCCCACACAGCGGCAAGCAGCACTTGAAGTATAAACAGTTAAAGCCCCACACAGCGGCAAGCAGCACTTGAAGTATAAAACAGTTAAAGCCCCACACAGCGGCAAGCAGCACTTGAAGTATAAAACAGTTAAAGCCCCACACAGCGGCAAGCAGCACTTGAAGTATAAAACAGTTAAAGCCCCACACAGCGGCAAGCAGCACTTGAAGTATAAAACAGTTAAAGCCCCACACAGCGGCAAGCAGCACTTGAAGTATAAAACAGTTAAAGCCCCACACAGCGGCAAGCAGCACTTGAAGTATAAAACAGTTAACTTACACCCGAAAACAACAACTGACGCCGAAGGCCTTTCCAACTTCGTTTATACTTGAGGTTATTCAAGAGAGAACTTTGCTAACGGTGTTCTGGTGCTAGAAGCATTTCACTTTGACAACCATATACACGGCGTTACGTTGTTGCAATTAAAAAGATAATGATTATTTTTGACATTTTAAATAACTCAAAATCTGCTTTCAAATACCCGAATTCAAGAAAACACAACTTTTCTAAATCTAAAATACAGGTGATATCTTAGATGATTGTACGTTCAGTGAAAGTAATACAGTGCGGTGGGTTAGTCAAGTGGGTCATACACTGGAGATCACGCCGACGACCGGGTTCGATTTCCACGTGCGTACAATGTGTGAACCATGTCTTGATATGAAACCTGCCTGATATCCTGGAATGTTGATATATGTTCAACTCAAAAACCACACTCGCCACAAATAATCTAAAAGAAGCCTTTACCAAGTCTGTATGACTATCGATTGTCTACCAGTTCCCTCGCATGAGTGAGTCTATTTATGGCCGCCAAGAGTGTGAATGCCACATGGCAGTAAACACACGATTGACTCGACGAATCAGGAAGTGGGCGATAAAGTGTAAACGCACAGTTAACACAAGCAATCCACACCGATTAAGGCTCTGAATAATGCACCCTCCGAGTCGTATGGCAAGGCCATCACTGGTTGAGCTCAGTAGGGTTGGTACAGCGTCAGACATGTATTCTGTTTACTTAGTTTTTTGTCGTTGGATTATTTTTAGTGGATAGAAATGAGAAAATTGTATTCAGACTAATACAATAAATATGGCGGGTTCATAAAATTAATTGAAGAGAAAATGAAAGATTTACAACCATTGAAGATTAAAGCCAAACATTCTCTAACGTAGGATATTTTTATCCGCCTTTCGGATGATTTGGTTCGTTAGTCGACATCTTCGAGAAATCCGATTTCGTTTTATACTGACTCCACGTTTTATCATATTTCGACGAATGCAAATTAAATATACTTCATAACATATTTATTTCTAAAGCTTACCTTATATGTGATTAAGACGTTCAGTTAGTCCAGTGGATAAAGCTTAGTTAATCACACCGAAGACCTGGTTCTATGCTCTGTGGCCTGCGCCGTGATATCGCGTGTGTATTGTGCTAGCAGAGGCGTTGAAAGCATATCCCCTCACTACCTAACCATAAACGTGGCGCAGTAGCTTAGTGCCTACAGTGGTCGTCCATCACGCCGAAACCACAGGTTCGATTCCCATCTTGGTACAATAGTATATCCTTGGTATCCTCTGTCATTCTTTGGATCAATATTGCTTAAGGTTGCGTAGAATCTCATTCACACTCTTTTAATTCGTGATGGAAATGTGGAATCAAATCATACTATGAGTGAGTGAGTGATTTTGGTTTAAAGCCACTTTGAACAATATGTCAGTAATATCACGGCATGACAGCTTGTGACTGGAAAACATAACCGGGGCGAATCGGTATTCGAACCACGAGCATAGGTTTCTGGCACGCCAAAGGAACGCATAGTGCGTTGCTGTACCTTCTAGCGCCTTGTGAAGATGGTAGGAAGCCCTTTTCAAACAAATAAATACTACGTTATAAGTTGTAGCAGGATCACTCCTAGTACATGGGGTTTATGTGTCCCGCGTTAGGTGTTATACCACGAGTCAGAGGCGACTGATATAAAACCTAACGCGGGACGCATACAACTCCATGTACCCCTGACCGACATGTTTTAATCTGTTATTGTGAACGAATTACAACAAATTCAAAATTGATCGAAAACAACTGTTCGATGGAGCTGGGGTTAGCTTGTGCTATGTCACGTGACTTTAATTGACTCCGACAAAGCGTGCGGCTTTTTGCTTCAAAGCCGGGTTTTAGGGATTTATTCTCCCGCTGAGAAATCCACATGCAGCCTGTTTGCCTAATGGTGGGGTATAAGGGCGTTATTCTATCTATCAGAAATTTATTTCTATCGCATGCGAGATACATACTATTTTATCAAGATCACGTGGACCAATCAGATCTCTAAATAGTGAAATAGTGAAATCTGAGTCAACAATATTCCCTCATAGACGCGTGTATCTTCCTGTGTTACAGCCCAAAAAAGACTATTGTAGCGACTATACGCATGCAGGAAGAAGGAAGGTACTTCAGCTTAGGTCATATCATGGGACATATATCTACATGTATATGGTTCAATGCGTTGTAAAACCGTAACACTACAGCCCACCATAGCCATCCAGTGTTATTTCCACATGTGTGCATGTATGCCTTCTGTGAACTGGTTTGAGTGGCGTGTGAACTGTTGTTGGTTATGTCACATTTGTTTTTGGTTTTGTCATCTTAATGTGGGAGGTAAAGCACAAATGACGCAAGGCGCAGACGTTATACCTACGAGTTATAATCTGTAACTTAACCAACAATACAACCTTCGTTACATCCTACAACACAGACCGCCTCCGTGGTCTAGTGGTAGATCGTCCGCCCGGAGAGCGGAAGTTCCGGGGTTCGATCCCTGGCCGCGTCATACCAAAAGACGTTAAAAGATGGTACTTGTTGTTACCCTGTCTGGCGCTCGGCATTAAGTTGCTAAAACAAGGACTGGTCGGCTCGGAGTATACTGTGTGTGAGTGGGGTATTCATGTTAAACTTGTGGCATGGTATCTCAGTGAGCTAACACTATAAATCAGCATCACTCTGGACTAGTACAAGCAGCCACACACACACACACACACACGTGTGCATGTAGGTCGCTATATAAGTGCAATAATCTTGGACGCGACGTTAAACCAGATTTCACCACATCCCCTACAACATAACTCACAACACAACCTACAATACCACCTACAACAAAACCAACAACACAACATACAACACAATCTACAACACAGCTCACAACAACCCACAACAAAACCTAAAATGCAACCTTCAGAACAACCTACAACGCAACCTACAATACAACCTACAGAACAACCTACAATACAACCTATAATACATCCTACAGAACAACCAACAACGCAACCTACAATACAACCTACAGAACAACCTACAATACAACCTACAATACATCCTACAGAACAACCTACAACGCAACCTACAATACATCCCACAGAACAACCTACAACGCAACCTACAATACAACCTTCAGAACAACCTACAATACAACCTACAGAACCTACAACGCAACCTACAATACAACCTACAGAACAACCTACAATACAACCTATAATACATCCTACAGAACAACCTACAACGCAACCTACAATACATCCTACAGAACAACCTACAATACAACCTATAATACATCCTACAGAACAACCTACAACGCAACCTACAATACAACCTACAGAACAACCTACAATACAACCTATAATACATCCTACAGAACAACCTACAACGCAACCTACAATACAACCTTCAGAACAACCTACAATACATCCTACAGAACCTACAACGCAACCTACAATACAACCTACAGAACAACCTACAATACAACCTATAATACATCCTACAGAACCACCTACAACGCAACCTACAATACAACCTACAGAACAACCTACAATACAACCTACAATACAACCTACAGAACAACCTACAATACAACCTATAATACATCCTACAGAACCACCTACAACGCAACCTACAATACAACCTACAGAACAACCTACAATACAACCTACAGAACAACCTACAACGCAACCTACAATACATCCTACAGAACAACCTACAATACAACCTACAATACAACCTTCAGAACAACCTACAACGCAACCTACAATACAACCTACAGAACAACCTACAACGCAACCTACAATACAACCTACAGAACCTACAACGCAACCTACAATACAACCTTCAGAACAACCTACAACGCAACCTACAATACATCCTACAGAACAACCTACAACGCAACCTACAATACAACCTACAGAACAACCTACAACGCAACCTACAATACAACCTACAGAACAACCTACAACGCAACCTACAATACAACCTACAGAACAACCTACAATACAACCTACAATACAACCTACAGAACAACCTACAACGCAACCTACAATACATCCTACAGAACAACCTACAATACAACCTACAATACAACCTTCAGAACAACCTACAACGCAACCTACAATACAACCTACAGAACAACCTACAACGCAACCTACAATACAACCTACAGAACCTACAACGCAACCTACAATACAACCTTCAGAACAATCTACAACGCAACCTACAATACATCCTACAGAACAACCTACAACGCAACCTACAATACAACCTACAGAACAACCTACAACGCAACCTACAATACAACCTACAGAACAACCTACAACGCAACCTACAATACAACCTACAGAACAACCTACAATACAACCTACAGAACAACCTACAACGCAACCTACAATACAACCTACAGAACAACCTACAACGCAACCTACAATACATCCTACAGAACAACCTACAACGCAACCTACAATACAACCTTCAGAACAACCTACAACGCAACCTACAATACATCCTACAGAACAACCTACAACGCAACCTACAATACAACCTTCAGAACAACCTACAACGCAACCTACAATACAACCTACAGAACAACCTACAATACAACCTACAGAACCTACAACGCAACCTACAATACATCCTACAGAACAACCTACAATACAACCTACAGAACAACCTACAACGCAACCTACAACGCAACCTACAATACAACCTTCAGAACAACCTACAACGCAACCTACAATACAACCTACAGAACAACCTACAATACAACCTACAGAACCTACAACGCAACCTACAATACATCCTACAGAACAACCTACAATACAACCTACAGAACAACCTACAACGCAACCTACAATACAACCTTCAGAACAACCTACAACGCAACCTACAATACATCCTACAGAACAACCTACAATACAACCTACAGAACCTACAACGCAACCTACAATACATCCTACAGAACAACCTACAATACAACCTACAGAACAACCTACAACGCAACCTACAATACATCCTACAGAACAACCTACAATACAACCTACAATACAACCTTCAGAACAACCTACAATACAACCTACAGAACAACCTACAATACAACCTACAGAACAACCTACAATACAACCTACAGAACAACCTACAATACAACCTACAGAACCTACAACGCAACCTACAATACATCCTACAGAACAACCTACAACGCAACCTACAATACATCCTAAAGAACAACCTACAACGCAACCTACAATACAACCTTCAGAACAACCTACAACGCAACCTACAATACATCCTACAGAACAACCTACAACGCAACCTACAATACAACCTACAGAACAACCTACAACGCAACCTACAATACATCCTAAAGAACAACCTACAACGCAACCTACAATACAACCTTCAGAACAACCTACAACGCAACCTACAATACATCCTACAGAACAACCTACAACGCAACCTACAATACATCCTACAGAACAACCTACAACGCAACCTACAATACAACCTACAGAACAACCTACAGAACAACCTACAATACATCCTACAGAACAACCTACAATACATCCTACAGAACAACCTACAACGCAACCTACTATACAACCTACAGAACAACCTACAACGCAACCTACTATTCAACTTACATTACAGTGAGTAATGTTCACTGACAACCAAAGTCAGTGGTGCCGCGTAGGCAGTGTAATACGCATGTTGACCTGTACATACATACAGCTTATTACAGTACATAACAGAAAGTAACACAAGACTGGGGAATGACCAGTTCTGCGTCATGACTGTGGAATTTATATTTAAAAAATTAAAAATTCCCTCAAGTCTTGTCTAGTTTCCTTGATTCAACACATTTGAAAACAGCAGGAGAGGGGGGAAATCATTCATAGACAAAGTTTTAGTGAAAGTGAATGGTACCAAATCTTCAATATTAAATCATGCCTCAGTAAACAAAGCGTTCAGACAGACAGTGTTATCACTAGCTGCGTGGGACGTGGTACTGCGCGACCGGGTGGTTACTACTACTACTACCACTACTACTACTACTACTACTACTGCCACCAACACCATCACTACCGCTGCCATCACTGTTACTGCTACTACCATCACTACCGCTTCCATCACTGTTACTACTACCACCATCACTACCGCTGCCATCACTGTTACTACTACCACCATCACTACCGCTGCCACAATTGTTACTACTACCACCATCACTACCGCTGCCACAATTGTTACTACTACCGCCATCACTACCGCTGCCACCACTGTTACTACTACCACCATCACTACCGCTGCCACCACTGTTACTACTACCACCATCACTACCGCTGCCACCACATGCCTCCGTAAACAAAGCGTTTAGACAGATTGCCTCGAAACCGGCCACGCTAGATGGGTACGCTATGCTAAAATATGATGTCCATAACTTTCATCTTTATTATCATGTTGTTTCAGACAAGATGTCGATTTACACTACATCGATCTATTGGTCAACTTACTGCATGCAACACGCTATGGCGTAAGGTAACGTGGACTGACGGAGGCACTGTTGTCAATGCGTGAGTCAATAGTTCATGAAGGTGAGGCGATGATTCATGAAGGCAAGGCAATGCTTCATGATGGTGAGTCAATTATTCACGATGGTGAGTCAATTATTCAAGATGGTGAGTCAATGATTTATAAATGTGAGGCAATGATTCATGATGTTGCGTCAATGATTCAAGATGGTGAGTCAATGATTTATAAAGGTGAGTCAATTATTCATGATATTGAGTGAATGATTCATGAAAGTGAGTCAATGATTCATGATGGTGAGTCAATGATTCATAATGATGAGTCAATTATCTATGAGGACGAATCAAAGATTCATGAGGTTGAGTCAATGTTTATTATGGTGATTCATGGATTCATGAAGGTTAGTCAATTGTTCATGAAGGTGAGTCAAAGATTCATGATGGGGAGTCAATGACTTATGAAAGTGAGTCAATGATTCATGATGATGAGTCAATGATTAATGATGATGAGTCAATGATTCATGAAGGTGAGTCAATGATTCATGATGGCGAGTCAATGATTATTGAAGGTAAGTAAATGATTCGTGAAGGTGAGTCAATATTTCATGATTTGGTGTCAATATTTCAATATTCCATGTTATATCAGTTCTGTCATTTTAATGTGGGAAGTGTTGCCTGGTTTGCCTATTTGGTAAAACAACTCACAGGATGCATAAAAACACGAAACGTTAACAGTGCGAATCTCGGAATTAAAATTCACTGAGCAGCAGATCCTGTAGAGCGAGTTGTGACGTCTTATATCATTTGGATAAACTGAGCACCTGGTATTGACATTGCGGACAGATTACTCAATATACTACTCCACTTTTGATGGGGACGTTGCTATCTTTCCGTGACATACAAAACTGTTTCTCATGATATGTCAAGTGAATATCTATAAAGAATGGCATATGTGGTTATTCCTATCAAGTGTAGTTTACAATCGGAAGCCTCCGCAAAACAACTACAACTGTGTATGTCTAAAATCTATATAACAACCAAGTTGCTTCCTTCACTCATGTACCAATTACCTTCTTATTGTACAAACATACACGTTTAGCTGACCGGAAAATATTCATTCCCAGCCGGTTGTATTTATTTCCGCTGAACAGTAATGCTATAATGAACAACACGAGACACACGTCTGTGCACGCAAGGTATGCGACAGGGCGGTATGCTTGATCCCTCGTCGTCTATGCGTAACGTTGAAAAAATTCAAATATTTCAATGACTGTTGATAACATTATTAATTCATACTCCAACTTACGAAAAGGATATGTTTCTAACCTGACACTGGAAGCGTCGCTATGTTCAGCCATACCTATATCATGGATCAGAGTCTCGTCGATTGGCTATGACCTACATAGAAACCCCGTGCGCATACACCTGTATATTATGCAAGGCCATGTTTCCGTAGGAGGTCAGCTATACAAAACGATTTCTTACCTTCTTGATGGTTGACTTGTTTGTAGTGTTTTGACCAGGCTTTGGCTGTTTTAATAAGCAGTTTCGCATGCAGCTTAGTACGCACACTCTGTTTTAACGTGTGTCACCTTACTACTTCCTGGTTGGTAGATGACACCGATCCGCACCTATACACGCCAATGTCAGTGCGCTGTATATTTATAATACTTACCTGTTCTCAACAGCCAGGTGATATCAGTATTAACCGACAGTCACTATATTTTGGCAGTGATGAACAAATTATTCAGATAACCTAGACATAACAACGCCCTGTTATTCATCGATCGAATCTCCTTTTCATATCTTTCCTATTTTTTATATGCAACTGTATTCAATTCACACATCACATAGGCGGTTGCGGTGTGAGGGAGTCTAATAGTAAAAGCGTTCGCACGTCAATCCGCAGGTTCCCAGTTCGATTCCCAACATGGGTACCTGTAAACCTATTATTGGTGGTCCTTTTCGTGAAAGTGCTGGAGTATTGATAAAAGCGGCGTCAAACCTTAATCGCATAGATTACTTCTTGTTGGCTATTGTGAAGATTAAAGGTACAAAATTTTCATTTTCCCGAGCGATAGTACTGGAATATTGCAGCATGCGGCGGGAGTCTACCCTCGTTGTGGCTATGTATTGTCAGCCAGGATGGGGTGAGTCACAGCTCACTAGCTGCGTGTGACGTGATACTGCGCGACCGACTAATACTACTGCCACCAACACAATCACGACCGCTGCCATCACTGTTACTACTACCACCATCACTACCGCTGCCATCACTGTTACTACAACCACCAACACTACCGCTGCCATCACTGTTACTACTACCACCAGCACCACCGCTGCCACCACCGTTACTACTACCACCATCACTACCGCTGCCACCACCGTTACTACTACCACCATCACTACCGCTGCCATCACTGTTACTACTACCACCATCACTACCGCTGCCATCACTGTTACTACTACCACCATCACTACCGCTGCCATCACTGTTACTACTACTACCATCACCACCGCTGCCATCATTGTTACTACTACTACTACCATCACTACCGCTGCCATCACTGTTACTACTACTACCATCACTACCGCTGCCATCACTGTTACTACTACTACCACCATCACTACCGCTGCCACCACAGTTACTACTACCGCCATCACTACCGCTGCCACCACTGTTACTACTACCACCATCACCACCGCTGCCATCACTGTTACTACTACCACCATCACTACCGCTGCCATCACTGTTACTACTACCACCATCACTACCGCTGCCATCACTGTTACTACCACCATCACTACCGCTGCCACCACCGTTACTACTACCACCATCACTACCGCTGCCACCACAGTTACTACTACCACCATCACTACCGCTGCCACCACAGTTACTACTACCACCATCACTACCGCTGCCATCACTGTTACTACTACCACCATCACTACCGCTGCCATCGCTGTTACTACTTCCGCCAGCACCACCGCTGCCATCACTGTTACTACCACTACCATCACTACCGCTGCCATCACTGTTACTACTACCACCATCACTACCGCTGCCACCACTGTTACTACTACCGCTTTCACATCCGCTGCCACCAATGTTACTACTACCACCATCACCACCGCTGCCATCACTGTTACTACTACCACCATCACTACCGCTGCCACCACTGTTACTACTACCGCCATGACTACCGCTGCCACCACTGTTACTACTACCGCTTTCACATCCGCTGCCATCACTGTTACTACTACCACCATCACTACCGCTGCCACCACTGTTACTACTACTACCATCACTACCGCTGCCATCACTGTTAATACTACCGCCAGCACCATGGCTTCCACCACTGTTACTACTACTACCATCACTACCGCTGCCATCACTGTTACTACCACCACCATCACTACCGCTGCCATCACTGTTACTACCACCACCATCACCACCGCTGCCATCACTGTTACTACTACCACCATCACTACCGCTGCCATCACTGTTACTACTACCACCATCACTACCGCTGCCATCACTGTTACTACTACTACCATCACTACTGCTGCCATCACTGTAACTACTACCGCCATCACTACCGCTGCCATCACTGTTACTACTACCACCATCACTACCGCTGCCATCACTGTTACTACTACTACCATCACTACCCCTGCCATCACTGTTACTACTACTACCACCATCACTACCGCTGCCATCACTGTTACTACTACCACCATCACTACCGCTGCCATCACTGTTACTACTACTACCATCACTACCGCTGCCATCACTGTTACTACCACCACCATCACTACCGCTGCCATCACTGTTATTACTACTACCATCACTACCGCTGCCATCACTGTTACTACTACTACCACCATCACTACCGCTGCCATCACTGTTACTACTACTACCATCACTACCGCTGCCATCACTGTTACTACTACCACCATCACTACCGCTGCCATCACTGTTACTACTACTACCATCACTACCCCTGCCATCACTGTTACTACCACCACCATCACTACCGCTGCCATCACTGTTACTACTACTACCATCACTACCGCTGCCATCACTGTTACTACTACTACCACCATCACTACCGCTGCCATCACTGTTACT